ACTATACTCACAACGCCCTTATAACGTCGATTATAATCAAGAGTCGGTCAATATACCATCCGAAATCAGCTCCACTACTGGTCAGTAGCGATGACTATTATAATAAGCCAAACTTATATGCAAGCAGAGTGATAATCACTACAATTTTAGGAATACTGCACGTTCATCAACATAAAAAATCTGCGTATGATAATGATTGTACAAACTAAAATATCAACCTAAAACAAGTGACATTCTATTAATTATATTAATATCGCTTTTCATCGTTCTAGCTCAAAGCCTTACGATATTTTAAACTGTAAAAGTCCAAAATGATCATACTATACCTGCGAACAACAACTTTAAGTTTGTTTACTATAATCTGTGAATTATGTTGATTTATGTTATTTTTAACTATAAATTAGGTCAGCCTGATAAATTATTGTTTTCCGCTCGCTATTTTACATTGGATTATCTGATAGCAGCAAAGAGAAATAACTTTGGGAGGTAATAAATTATCTTAGCTTCCACATATAATTACTTCTATGTAAAAATCGAGCTGTTGCAACAATAGACAAACCTGTTTCAATTATTCAAAGTTCCATCAAATCTGATAGCAATGCAACAAGCTATAAAATAATATCTTTGCTTCGCAATGTAAATGTATATTAGTTCGTAGGAGGATTTAGGTATTTCTTTTTGCAACAGTTTAATTATTACGGTCAGGCCAAGTGGCTCCATGTCTTCTTACCTATTAAGGCGATAAGCAAAATTATCTACTTCGAATATTACTATTCTTGCAATATTTTACGAAATCTTTCTTAAGACAGACATCTACTTTATCTAGCATCTTAATGTTCAACATTTAGGCGTTTGCAAAGTGACTTCTTATCCAAAATGGAAAAGGATATCATTTCTAACGTAATATCCGCAAGTTTTAAAGCTAGATCTATCTATCCATTGAAATCAAACGCAACTATCACTTTCAAACACAAGCTAGTATGCTATTTTTATACACGTAGAAAGATTCAATTCGTAGAAGCTTTTACAAGTGTCCTAAATAAATGTTCAATTATGAATAATTAACAGCGCTCGTTATTCTTCACTTTTTCTAGCTTTGGAAGGCAAACAACCTACAAAATGCGTACACAACGCAGTGTGTTTACTGGGATTATAAAATCAAGTAATTACTGATTTATATTTTGCAAAAATATAATTATGATCATTCTGGGTAGGTTATATTAAATATTCATCAGTGTAGTAAAAATACTTGGATATTGTTTTTTCAACTTTAGTGACCAGGTACTTTTATTCCAATAGAGCACCTTTTATTACTACATGATCTTGTCGTCATCATTTTACAATCTAGCTATAATCAACTTGCCTTCTAGTAGTATAATATTATAGAAATTGGAAATGTCATAGAAGTATATTTTTTGTGTTCCGTAATAAGAGTATACTTTAAATTTGTTGCCTTTACAAAATTATAATTTTAAAGCTATCATAGATAAAATGTAATTCATACAGTTTTGCTATCAAAGGGTGGAGGTAAAATATAAGTATGCGGTAAAGTGGCATTGCAATTAATAAATAAATATCGCTAATGATAAAACTGAACAAATCATAAGATAAGAAAGGTATCTAATTTTTTTTTTATCTTTTCTAGGGATGGTTGGTCAGATACTGGATGTACTATAAAGTCAACTAATCATACTCATACTATTTGTGTGTGTAACCACTTAACAGATTTTGCCTTAGCTTCTGTTACTGTATCGCAATTTACGCCATCTTTAACTCGAGTAATAGCGAATCAAGGGTTGATTATGGCCAGAATTAAACATCCATCGCAAAAATTAATTGCATCAACTCCAACAATAGCATACCGTCGACCACGGCATGTCGAAACTACACCACCTAAGATCAACGTAAGCTTCTGATATCTGTTTGCTTTTTTTACTAGGCCGATTTCGCATGTATGGCTTAAATTAGGCTACTGCGATAATGATACACAAATATAATTGTAATACCTTAATCATTAATTCAAGGACTGTTCGTAAAAATTTCTTCTTGTTTAGATAACGGAACCAGTTAATCTACAATTCACTTACATGTCTCATGGTATAGCATTAGTTTGTACCGCACTAACTGCTGGAACATATTATGTGTTGTTAAGGTACTCGCTAGTGGATCTTGTGCTAACTTTTCTAACGGGTCTGAGTTGAGTCAATGTTATTAAAGGATCAAACTTATTCGCATACTTTTCATTCAAAAATATAGAGGTAGCTGGAACTGGTGTTATTTTGCACTAGTCCACTTAACGGCGAGTTCCTCTCTGGCCTGCTTTTTCATAATGCTAGCGCATGGTCTATCTATAAGCTCAAACGCGGTTAGCCAAGTTTAAAATAATTTGATTCATTCCTTAATTTATGCCGATAGACCCTTTCCTAAATTGCTACTATCTATCTACAACTATATCACTACCTCTGGTTGCAATAACTGCTATAAACAGACTGGGTGTTCAGCAGTAGCGTCTTTAACCTATTTCTTCATCATGGCTACTTGTACTTGGACATCTATCGAAATCAACATTTCCATAACTACAAAATTGGGTCGTTTTAAACAATACAAAATTTCCCGCTATTTTATTTATGGATATGGTAAGTCCGTTAAATAGGATAATGAAGTTAAGTTAGGAGAGCATACCATGATGAATCTCTATTAGAGTAGTCTTCATCAGTAGATTATTTCATTAATTAATTGTGAGATGATCGAAAACCATAACTAACCATTCACAATACTTGTGATAGAAATTCATATCATAGATATTCGGTTATATTTAATTAATAGATGAAAAGGATAGTACACGAAAAAAATATAGTTGTATCAGATCTTACTTACAACTTAAAATGTACGAAAGTATAATGTACACAAGTTAATTTAACGGGATCACGAGATAACAACTAACATTTATGATATAGTTGATCACTAGAAATTGCATAGCGTAGACACTACCGCAGAGTGATATATCGATTACATAGCTCTTTACTATCATGTCAGTTGCTATATCTTTAATGAGAAGTCCATAAAATAAAATATTGGTACTGAGTGCTTCTAAAAATTGAAAATAGACGATATGTCATCCATTTAACTCCTAATAGAGTAAATAGCTTAATTATTTTTTAATTGTATCTTGAAGGTACGCCACTCGTATTGACGATTATTATCATTGCAACGCTGTACCCGAATATCGTCTTGCCGCCATTGTAAGTTTAAGGTCAAATGGTTTACTCATTTTTATGGTGCTCTATTCCATTTAAAAGTATAGCACTACCCATATTGTTAACAATATTAAAATTAAGTTTAATGCTATTTTGATTACAGTTGCTGGATAAGCCCTAGGAATATTGAATACATCATGATAATCCCTGTGTCCATCTTATCGGCGGTAAGTTTAGTAACAATATTCAAACATGACAAATTCTGTATATCCGTATATAATTATAATTACCGTTCGCTTTTATTTTTCATCATTCATAACAAGCTACAATTTAGTTAGCAAGTTATATCCAATTATTATAATCATTTCTGCGATGGAAGTAATGTTTTATCTTCCGTAGGCTAACATAGGATTTACTAATTTGCAACTACGTACTTACTCATATTACAATAAATACGTATCTCACCTTTCGCAGGTTAGCCTCATACTCCTATATACTTACTACAGCGCCTATCAAAAATTAAGTCTAGAAGAACGGGAAATACTAAAGAAAGAAAAATTCAAGTGAGTCTAACGACATCTCTTTTCTTATGATCATGCAAGTAATTCACTGTTCTAGTTTATGAACTTCACCATAATAAATTTTAATCTTAGCTACTTTTTAAATCCATTTGTTATACCACTGATTGATTTAACTATTATAAAAACTAGAACAACGATAATAGTTGACTGCTTTCTAGTCATTCTGATCGGATGTGGTTGGCTAACGCGTGCAGCTGCATTCAGCCATCCATCCCAGCAAATTGATGTACCTAATGATGTGCTCATGATAGCTTACGTAAGTATCTTTATCAGCATTAATATTGAACCACTATTTTACAAAATATACTTGATAGTTATTGATGCAAAAAAGTATCAATTTATTTAATGGTTCATTGTAAGAAGAAGCTCCTGGTACTTTCAATCCTATTGTACAGTTTAATTAGATGCACTGAAAAGTATTAGCAGCTCATGAATGTTAAATTACAATAATTCTAATTTCGTCTTCATGGCCTTTCAGATAGTTAAATAGGTGCAGTACTTCATTCTTGAGTAATAGATTCTTACCGTACTGAATCAAAAAAGGAATTCAATTTTAACCTTGATCTACATAAAGTTAACTGTCTTGCACGACTTTTGTGAGTCATGCTATTTAAAGTTTTATATTGCCTTGAAATTTATTTGATCTACTTGTTAGGGAGTTATCATAATATGTTGGAATTGCCTATACAGGCGACAGGTAGAGTAAATTGAAATTGCTTTAAAAGAAATATTGACGTTTCTAGATATCTTCATTGGCTATAAATTAGCACTTTATAAAAAATTGCTACAATATTTACGGCCAAGTACTTCACCTACATAATTATGTATTGGTTTTATTGATATCCATAGAGTAGTAACCTTTACATAGGAGCACCTTCCGAAGATAGTAATTCAAATGATGGGTAAATCTTTCACGTAATATGATGAGCAAGACCCCAATTCTATCGCTGTATGTGCTAATAATTACAATCTTGATAGGATTCATAATATAGAGATGGAAGTCCAAACTGATCAAGTGGGGCAACCATCACCGCAGACTGTGTCTTATGCTTGGTCACATAGCCACGAAAGTAATGCTCATGGTTTCTCTGATGTAGTGGACAAGAATAGTGAAATCCTAGACAACCAATATCACCCAAAATCTGTGTCGAGTACGATGAGTGGAAATCAACGAGATGCCGGCGTAAACACGATGATCTATGAGTAAGAATTAGCTTGTAATTAATTTCCTTATTTTTATTAAAGTTATCCAACAAAATGAACTAGAATAAAATTAATTATTCCATTTGTCACTATGGCAAGATAAATTTAGTTTATATCGATAGATCATTATTCTGCGTAGCCTAGGCGAATTTTGTATAGCTGACTCCTCATTTTGATCATAAAATAAATACTATATGACTATAAAAGTGCGAACTTCGATCTTACTACTTCATTGCCTGCTCATATAACTTAGGTGAATGCTTCTTTACCCTTGGCACAAACCATTGATGAGACTATTGCTAAACATTTAAGTTTCACGGAATACTGTGACAAATAATATCATAACAGCTTTGATTTAAGCTCATTTCGCCAAAAAAATTAATCGCTAGCATTATTTAAATGTTACGGCCTTGCGACGATTATGTTTGAGCGATCTAATATTGCACTTATAGTTGAGTCCATTTTTACTTTTGGGATAATCCGTTATCAATGATATAACTAAGTACTTCGGTTTCAGAAACAATATGCCTGTAGTATCTATCACTGTTTAGCTTAGTCATTGCATAATTTAGTTCCTGAAAATCTAAACCTGGGTGTTGTAAACTCCGAACTATATTTAATCATGAGGCTATATGTAATATGATCAAGCATAAATTCCATATAGAATACACTGTAGCATATAGTTACGGTTATCTTTTACCTATACAGTAATGATCATTCAGAAATTGAAATCGCTGCACACCTTCTAAACCTTTATCGCCCTTTTATCCTAGCAGTCAGTAAGATTTTTTCACTTTTTAGCCTTTAAATGTTTCATTGCTTTATCATTTATCTTATTTGTTGTAATTATTATGCAGCAATAATGAATATATGGGATATTGGAAAGGTAATGCCGAATATTATCCGTAAAATATGACCGTTTGGCATAGGATTGGTAAAGAAAAGATGCCATAATTCCTACCTACCGCCAATAAAATCTAGAGTTGTTTTACATTTAGTTGTTGGCAACAAGTTACCGTAATTATTTACTGATTGGCATTGGTTAAAGTAGTCCATAACATAGCTGGATTGTTGAATTTTCTAACGTGCTGCATAAACTTTTTGAATACATTGGTACCCGAAACTTGAATAGCAACATTTATCTCGGTATTAATCCTTAGTATGGAGTGAATTTTATGCTGGCTCTCAACTAAAATAATCACTACTTCAAAAATTGAAGTAAGGTTTGGCTTGGTAATAAAATGATTGATTTCGTTTTCCATGTCTCAAGGGATATTAGTTGAAACAGAGTACTAATCTGTCATAAAGAAACAATTATAATAATTTACTAAATCGATGACAGTCATAAAGATCATCGAATAATATTGATATCTTAGAGATGCAATCTACCCTATTTTAGGTTATAATCCACGAAATATCGTGAAATATTTCCGATTAATTTTAACGTCAAATGAATTAAAAATTTTTTTGGCTTTTGTAAGCTCAATCTTCAGGGTAGTACATAAGAAATAAACAATCTATATCTCGTTATACGACCAATGATCGTGATGGTGAATTTTAGGAGGAACAATTCACTTCTCGTTTTAAAATCAATTATCGTGCGTTAATTTGTAAGATAGTAACTACGTTTATTCGACAACTACTGTAATTCATTTCTAATTAGTGAGATATAGTAATATCGTAATTTTAGAAATCCATGTATACGTATAAGGTTAAGTTAGGTTCTTGTAAACTGATAGCCTTCATTAATGCTGCACCGTTATACCTACATTCGATACTTATTGAAATTTTTCTTCATATAACCGTCAACAGTTACCGTTACAATGTCAGATTATTGATAAACCCTAGGCAAAGTCTAAAAGGCTACAGAAATTTGCTGTTGAAATGTTACTTAACTAATTGGAAGATGAATGAAAATTTCAAATACAAGAGATGACTTTGTAACTATTAAGAGAATACAGCATGTCGCAATGATCAATTTTTGGATACAATACAACTCTATTCTTCCAATGTGAGTAAGTAATATTACACTATTTTTTCTATTTATTATAGTTGTACACTCCAAGGTTCAGGTCATAACCATCAAAAGTTACCAATATTTATGTGCAGAAAACAATTTAACGTAAAGATTATATTCGACAGAGAGTAAAGCACATATCACTTTAAACTTCCATAGCAATAAAAGCCAATCGGTTAGGAATTGTTGAGATAGGTTTAACCGCTGAAATATCAATTAAGTGCAAGTGCTATATTAACTGCTTTTCATTGCTAATGAAACAGAACCACTTTCACCTAGCATTTTTTAAGCAAATTAAACAGCACGTACATATACAGTATAGCCACATGCGCCTTTTAATCTTTACATGGGCTAAGTTTGATGAAATAATTCTTGAATATCATACATTGGTGCGAAACAGCAACAACTTATTTCCTTGTATTTAATCCCTGTTGTAAATTAAAGTATCCATTTCACGAGGTACTTACAAGTATTCTACTAAGTTAGTGAATGAAAGCAATTACAGTACATTAAGTAAATGATCGATTTAGATATATATAAAAATCATGGCAGACAACACCAGGCGTCGATTATATTGAAATTAATGAACTCCGATGAGAGGTAAACTGTTCAAATCTGATAGTTAGATGAAAAGGTAAATAACATGATCTTGGTATAATAAATTCCCTCAGCTATCTATTCTACTTTGCTCACTAGACATGGATGTTGGACAGTTGAGTAGTAAATATCTTAATAGTCAACGCGGCAATTTATTTTTTCGCAGTTTGCTTATGTCGATAGCATCGATCATAGCCTGCAACACTTGGCAATCTACACTGCCTTCCAGTTGTAGTACTTGCTTGGCAACGTGGATTCTTGAAGGTCCATTTAGCGCTAGGATCATCGGCATCGCTCACTTGAGCACTGGGAACAAGTGGTGATAGACCATTAACAACTTTCTCACTACTACTGCTATGATTGGATTCGTTAATACCGTTAACCATTTCTTTTTTGAAAGCCTGGAGGAGCGTTGTATAATTCTCTTCCATTGGATAATAATCCGGCGTCTGGGTCCACGATAACTTCTTATAAACCCTACCATTCTTGGGCGTTGAATTTGCGCTATAATCAGTATCACTGAAGGAATTATTATAATGATTTTTTATAGGCTGTGGCGTTGTTAAAACTGCATCAACTGGATTAACAAGATGATTTTTCCGATAGATTTGATATAACTTGACAATCAGTCGATGAACTATTTAAGATTATAAAGTATCAAATTGATTGATTAGTATTTAAAACATCAGAATTAAAATAACTTATTCGTTGTTATTGAATCAAAAACGAAGTCATAATGTAAGGTTAAAGTTAAAAACTTACTGCAGATAATGATCAATAAGAGATAGGTAATGCTGATTAGGCGGATGCTTTTGCCATTCCGTAGTTTAGATAAAGCATTGATTGCAATAAGTGCCATAATGCCTAATTTTAAGACTGCTGGGATATCAATGAACTTCAAGATGACGATAGCGATGAGTATATAAACGGAATGTATAAAACACATTGTTATCAAAGATACTTTATCACCTTGGTACCCCAGAATGTCTGCAAATTGATCTACAGAAAAGATACGATACATCCAGAAATTATAATTTAAGACATTTCACATGACCGATTTACTTTAATTCTCTCTTTCTTGGATTACTTACCTAAGTGATTTTCGATCTTGTAACGTAGAATTTCATAAACTCGCATAATAAAAGTTATAGTTTGATTTAATCGTTTCAAATTTTCCAAAGTGTGTATGTAATGTTGTGTAACTTCGTGATGATAGTGGATGATTTGTGAGGTACTCTTGTCTGAAATGATAGTAAGTTATTTCAACTGATTTAGGCATAACTAGTCATTAAATCTTTTTAGAAGTTTTCATTTACCTCAAAACAATTTAAAATATACAGCGTTTTATCAGCATAACAGTAATTACACCAGCTACGATTATTAATTAAGTTAAAATTTCCGATTCATTTTCGTCATATCAATGAAATGTTAATGGAATATCCGCGATATTGAATTAGGTTTGAAATCAGAGTGGAACCTTCTTAATAAAGGTATCCGTAAGCTATCACATAAGGTGTGATTTACGACACTTGTGACAACTGTTAAATATTCCATTTGCAAACGTCTACTGCGCTCTAATAGCCTCAATAACTGGCTATTCAAAGTCTTTTAAGAGGAAGTGTAGTACTAGCAATCTATCTTGACAGCGTGTAACCTTAAGTTATTTCATTACGATAAAATAAAATGTATTTTATTTGGCTCACCAATTTCATACCAAGCCATTTTGGCTTTGTATTCAATTTTAGACAAGCTTTCTAAAACCTTTTCCAGGCTTATATTGCGGTCTAACTCTTGCCTTTTCATTACACTAGCTGTATTCTCTAATCGTCGGATAGAAAAGGAAAAATTAATATGTAGCATGTTATACAGATTACTTCCTTTGCAAATGCGATTTTACCTAAACTTCCCTTCAGAGACGTTGTCAATGTCCTTAGCTGGAGTTGTCGCTCTATAGTCAACTCTTTTTCAACGGCTAATTGCTTTAAAGTTCTCTTCAATGATGATTCAATCTCTGCTTGCTCCACTCGTAATATTTCATTTCGGTTGAGAAGATCTTGCTGCCCATGATGGACAGTATTCATAGTTATATTCACTGACCTACCCAATACCATATACTGATCCTTTATTACAAAATTCATAATTTCAAGTTAATATTCAAATAAAAAGGTAACAAAACAAGATGTCAAAGTTCCACTTAGTTATACATAAGGATAAAAGCGGTGAAAGATTCAGACTCAAGATGTGCCTTTCGACTATAGATTAATTTATAAATTCAATAGTACTTGTCTTCGTGTGATATAATCAAACACAAACATGTTTTACTTCTGCAGATCTTATTTTTACCCACTACTAAATTAATGCTCGGTAGACCATTTATATTAATTAATTAATCTGCATATTCTTAACTATGACTGCCTGAGCACCACTACAATGTATAAATGCGTCGCGATTGTAAAATATGAATCATATTGAACAATATTAAACTTGCTAAAATAAATGATAACCTAGATCCACATTGGCTGTATTAGTGTGTTGCCTTTAAGAAATCTTGTTAGACAGAAAGTTGATCTAACCACTACAGATTCGATTATACTTGGACTAACGATAATCTAGTTTGAATTATTTCTAAATTAGTACTTATATTAAGACATCTATTTCGAAAATAGGTATTGTATAATCTACTATCGAATTACTATGTTGTTATTGAGATTAACTGTCAGAAATTATGCCAACGATGGGTACTCGTTGAATCCGATTATAAATATCATCAATAGCTTACCTGCAAAGTATACATTAGCAACAACTGATTTTGCGATGTTTCAGCTAAACGATTAATGGTATATTCAGTCTGTCGTCGAAAATGTTGTTGTCTTGTAGCATAGCAAACAGATCTTGCACGATTGCTAATTATATGATAAGCATTCCAGGTATCTGGATCCATCGATTGTGTGCATTCACCTATGGTCTTATTATTAACACCAAGGGAAAAATCAAACCAAAAACGAGATACGACAATAACGTATAAAAATAACATGTTTTAAGACGAGAACGACGCTTGGAAAATTTTTTCCAGCCTTTGTTCTACTACGGGCAAATCAAGTTATGGATATGCTAGTTGTACAGGATAAAGTTTCAATGTAACTAAGCTGATAATGTACACTACCATATCATTGGTGCAGAGGTAAGTCTTGCGCCCTTCTATCTTAGATTGACAATTAAGTAGAGCCACACTTAATTTCGCTAATTCTTCATCAGAAATATCACCGCAAGATTTCTTTAGTTGATCAATTGTCTAAATGAAAGTTGAAAGAGAATGCGGACAATTTTATTTCAAGGGATAATCGTGAGATTGGCAGTATATTATATATTGAGTTTAGTATTTCGAAAATTAATTATCCTTGGTAGAGTTAATGCATAATACAAAAATACAATAAATTGTGGTTGCCAGATTACCCTTAACTAATACCATTTAGAATGCTGTGGCTAAAATCACTCAATATGGCAGCTTCTACTACTCTCCTGCGCCATAAAAGTTCCAATTTTATTTTATTAACATACGAAGTTTAATATAATCTTATGCTTATTATTTAAAAGTTACGTTTAGCACAGGTGCTTGCTAATTTATTACTATAAATTTTAAATTTTCTAATTGTAGAGCGATAATTTAGTACATTCTTATCTAATGTTATTAAAGCCTATCTACTGTATCTAGAAATAATATGATAATGTCATGATTTGATTTTTCTACTTTCATTAGGAATGTACTCAGAAAGAAGAAAATACTGTTGATCTGATATTGTATGAAAAAAAAAAAATAAAGTACCGAAAATTCGAAAGTGTATAGTCTTAAACTTTTAAGCATATCAAGTCCGAGTTAATTCTATTAAGCATTTGGTTCAATCTCTTTCCCTATGAATCTGTGGCTATCACAGACATATCTTCTTCAATAACAAAATATCATAGCACTAAACGGTTAACAGATACCATTTTATCATGCTTTAATTAGCTTATACACTCGTACACTTTGCGGGAGAAGAGTAATCATTCTGAATAATTAGATTACAACTTTATTGCATTGAGTTAGCACTGTGTCAACTCTTCAGTTTGGTATGGGTATTATTTTATTTTAATTTGAATTACTGTCCATTTTCTGTACTTGGTTGGTTTGTGCTTATGAAAAGGTACTGGTCTATTAATAATAGGTGTATGCCTAATAAGTGCTTACAGTAATTATATTGCCATAAATTTAATTTCTCAATTTTGTGTGTTTTAGAGTTTTAACAACATGCAGGCGCTGCGACACTTAATAGCAATTCTATCTCTAGTGTTGTATGCATAATTAAAGGAAAATATACTATACAGTCATGCACATGATTCAAGCCATATGACAAATGATCATTTTAAAATTTCCATTCAAATTTAAACGGGCATATTCTGCTCTTACCCTCAAGTTACAAAAATCTAGCCGAGATAATGTAACATAGGAATCGGCATCCTTGATAAATTTATCGTCTGCACTCTTTACTTCAAATGGTACAAGTCGAACGTCAACGGATTGCTTCAACTCATCTTCTTCTTCTTTACTGTGTTGCCCTTGAATTTTTCCACTTCCTGAAGAGAATGGCCACCAAGCTGTTGATAACTGGCATGAGTAAATTGCCAGTAAAATAAATAGTACGCATAGTCTTGAGATGGATAAAGTCATGGTTTGAAACTAAGTACGGATAATCAGTTTTAATATGTATTCGTTAGTAATAATTACTAAGTTTGCTTGCTAAAAATCGCTGCGGTATGCTAAAACATATCGGTAACATTCATTCTAGTAGCACAATATTGTAAGATTAATCATCTCGTAGTGCAAGTATGCTCCAATATAAGTATACTTAATTCGATATTGATACGTAACAATACATCATACATATCAGTAACATTCATTCTAGCTGCACAACATTTTAAGATTAATCATCTCGTAGTGTAAGTATGCTCCAATATAGTTAGTTTGATAATTTCTATACCGTACTATAAAATGCATTTATTGACACCATCTCCATTGCACGATAGCAGATGTAGACATTTAATTAGTAAGCTACTCCATTTATGATGTCGATTTTTGGGTTACCGTAATCAATCATCGTGATCAGCGTGATTATAGTGGTTTAGGATTTGCATATTCAATCGTACTTCCGATATTATCTTAAATATAGTCATAATCCTTCTACTAATAGTGTTTAACACTTTAAATCTTGGCAGTGTTTTATAATTAATTAATCATTCTTCCCCTCTCCGGCATTACCTGGAGTCTAGACTATTCTATCTCCATCCACAGGCTATTCAGATATCACTTATTATTTACCTTGGAGTATAGAATATTCTATCGACATCTATAGCCTATTCGGGTGTCAACTTATTTTACTCCTGAAATGGATGATTTAAGCACATGACAGCGAAGTCTATTCTTGAACTAATTCAACATTTTTCATATTGATTATTCTCAATGTGCCTAAAGCGAGAAATTATCTCATTTATTGGGACATACTGTACGCTGGCCGAGGACGAGTTTGCCCAACGTTATGACAAGATATATACATCTGCACAATGTAGGTTAGTAAGTCCAATTAGCTACTGCACCAAACCAACATTGTTAGTGTTGCACTTGATTACAGTAATTACTAATTAGAGATAGCAACGGTAGCATTACTGTAGTAGTAAGCGTTATAAGAAAATAACATCCACTTTAAATTATTCTTCCTCTGTCTACAACAATGTAGTACATCAGTTCTTCTTAATATGCTTACTGGAAAGCACGCGTGTACTCGTATAGTACTTATCAACGTTAAATTGATGAAATTGGCTTTGTGTCGTAATATTTTTATAATTATCGTTCATTACTGTATCCAGGGTGGATTTCTAGTCTCAGGAAATGTGGACTGCAGTGATTTCATAATCCTATAGCGAGTATGTTTAGCTTAAATACGGAAGAATATTATCCACTTGGGCTGACTGGACAGTAGACAGGCCTCTGCCGCGGTCTACTGAGTGTACTTCTACATCGGCGATCTTCTACTCGATAAGCGCTCTTTCGCTCTTATACAGCAGAATTTTCGATAAGATACTGACACTAGGGAACCAGAAATAAATAATAGATATTGGAAATATAGCTAGAAAGTTTTCATTGCATATAACTAATCTAAGCGCACTCGTTCTTTTCCTAACCCTCAATTTATTTGCAGAAACCCCAAGACGACATGATCCTAGCGCTCCTGCTGTAGTACAGTACAGTATACAGTACAGTAATGTTGTGTAGTATTCCATGTACAGTACAGTACAGTACTGTACTGTACTTGCAAGGTATAAGGCTCAGAATACGGACAAAGGAATACGGAGACTAGTATGTTTTATATAAAAATAATTGGATCTATCAGTGTGTCAGCCCGGCTAGCTCAGTCGGTAGAGCATGAGACTCTTAATCTCAGGGTCGTGGGTTCGAGCCCCACGTCGGGCGCAGTTTGTCTGCCCGCCGGCCAAATTTTTTTCTTACTGCAAGTACGGTATTGTATGATGCAGTGCTGTACGATACCAGGTACAGTACAGCATGAATAGGACTACTAGAAGAAGACCTGGACTCAACTGGACTGACCACAACCTCGGACAGACGGACTTTCCTGATCAAGTGAGGTCGTAAATATCGAAAAATGGTTACCCCTGTATAAAGCTTCCATGTCTTTTTCGAAATTACTGGTACAAATTTAAATGATATTTACCATCTTAAAGAACTGTTTCCAAGCAAAATTTTTGTAACGGATAATAAGATTTAATTTAATATTACTTAATTTAGAAAAATTCAGTTAATTTAAAATCGATCGTCTCCATACTAAAGTACTGACATAGACAGGTGTTTGCCACAGCACTGCATTTTGATGAGAGGATGCCAAAAGTATCTGTCCGTCCAAGAGTGTTTGGTCTAGGTCGTCTTCTAGTAGCCTATGACACTGTAGCACAGTAGGCTAGAAATTTTAAAACTGAGATGTGGTCCTTTTTTTACCCACAGACTAATCCTATCAGTCAAGGACTGCGCGATTTACTCTATAATTAAATATGCCGTATACAGCATACGCTTATACTGCATGTTGCCGTTACGATACTGTATACGGAAAATACCTAATTCTAAATACATACAGTACTGTTCCAAAAATACTCTACAGTACTAAAGCACTTACTAGAGTATTACGGTATATTTATCATTGGTGGATATTGCCGAAAAGTAATTACGATCCAGGCAGCAAATCCACATTCATTAAGTATGATATTTTACATGATCGTTTTTGTTGTTAAGTTCAGCTATGAGTATTTAGCGATAAATTAATTTCTTTCATTCTATCGATGCACTTGTTGAAGAAAGAAATCCAATCTTGTTGAAATCAACGCTTACACACATAGTATTGAGCAGTGATAGTCGAATATTGTAGAAACTTTATTTAAAATTCGTTCGAAATGTGCGCTAACAAATTGTTTCCGGCTAAAAATCATACATCTGATCATGATGCGTTATAAATCTGTGGCTCAATGGCGCTATTTGAACAGATACGTTGATTGTGATTTCAGCCAGGTGAACTATCATACGTCAGCAATAAATAATTAACAGTAACTATGCATTACACGTAAGTAGATTCAAGATAGGCGAGTTTCCGCGTAAATTTTGCAGATAGTAAAATAATTTTAAGGTCGGCATATTTGCTATATATCACGTATTTACAATACGTTATAGTACATTTTTTGGCATCATAACGATAAAAGTATCTTCCCGATCATCATCCAATATTTTTATACATTTAAATAACTTATACATTAATACTTATCGCCAGGTTAAATATCTTTAAGTTGTGACATTCTTAATTGTTGAAGAAAAAAAAATAGATACATGCTGCACTAATGTCTAGCAAAGCACGTTCTGATGAATATATTGTAGAGGCTCGCAAGATGAGTAACCTTGGATGAAAATATCGTTTAAGAATAACACAAAAAATCATACGATACAAATTATAGATTCAATTCAGTAATGTAACTATGGTATATAAATTTCGAATATGACAAATTTTCTTGTAATATCCAGATGCTACTAAATTTAAGTGGATGTGGAAGTATTATGGCAATGCAACAAATCCATTTTGCTTAACATACTGTATGAACATGAAACAATTAGCAGTGCTAAGTTGTTAACCTCTAAACGTAAAATCTTTCGCATCAAGTGCTCCTGAAATGGTTATCAATGATCATAGGGGAAAGGAAACGATATTTTAAAAATAGAATTATTTAATTCGTGTAGATCCAGGCTTGGCATCTTTCGTATCTTTCTTTATCTTAGCATTATTTCCTTTTGTATTCAGGTTAGTCGGCTTTGATTTGGTGTTTGCTGGCTTAGCATTGTTGGTTGATTTTTTGACATTTGTTTTAGCTGCAATAAGATACACCAACTTTACTAAATAATGGTTCCTTGTACGCAAGACTTTAATCAACGAATATATAATATAGCTTAATATAACCGTAACTTAAGGTTAAATAACTTACGCTTCTTTTCCTTATTCTTATCCAATCTTCTCTTATTAGCTTCACATCTACCACTTTCCATAAGGTGAGCTTTCCAAGCCTAAGACATTTCATGCAACAATTATTAAAAACAGACACATAGTTAGGAAATACAGCAATCGTTACCTCATCCGTATCATTTTCAATCTCAAGTCGGCACAAATAGCACAGAGGTTTTTCGGATTTAATACAGTCACTACTATTCTCATGCTGCTGCAAAGTATCGGATAAAACAGCTTTGCCACACGTTGGACAGTTTGTGAATTTTTCTTTTGATTCGCACTCGGAGGTAAGATGATCATTCATGTTTGAAATCTCTACAACCTAAAAGGGGTACACAATTAAGCAATGTTAGAATGTAAATTTAGAAATAGTTTCTGGATTAAATATGTCATTATGAATCTGTCAACAGTAAGAGAATCGCCCAGTTACGATCGTTTCAGGTAATGCGTGAAATCACTGCACACATGAAGCAGATAAATGTCAAGTAAACCGTTTATGTCGATAGAAAACCTAATAGCAATTTGCCACGGAATTGTATGAAGATTATACTTCTTACTGTCTGCAGCTCATAAACAGTAAGCCCTGACACTTCATATCTAATAATATAGCATATGATATCTAATAACACAGACTATGTAATGAAAAAGCCTGGTTATTTTTATCGATTTCAAGATATGCATTTAGAGTTGTGGCATCTGGCTGCAAAATTTACCTGTGTACAATGCTGGCATTTCATCAACATAGGACATGATTTCCAATAATGTATATCCAGGCCTTGCTCTGAAAAATTTTCATTTACTTCTCCACAAAATATACATGTCCTATAGAAATGTTACAAATACAATTGGAACAATTAATTATAACGTCATTCCTAGTGGGCATAATCATGTAGTTACGCATAGTATTTAGCTAACTTTTCTAAGCCAAGCTGATCGCCTTCTGTTCCCATTGTTGCTACACTAGCAGTATCTTCAGGCCTATGCGAAGATCGACGACTGATCAACTTGCTTTTGCTCCGATTTCTACTCTTATTAACTCCTACGAAAATATTTCAATAGATAATAATATCGATAAGCTTACTATGATATACATCTAATGCTTCAACAAATAATGCTATTATACTGATTAACTATGTTTCTATAAACTTACTGTCCGCAGATTTATCGGTGTCCTGGGGCATATGAAGATTACTAAATGAAGGGAATACAGTAATAAGCTCCGCTTGATAATGTAAGCTATAGGACATCAACCTAATGCGATAGTTCTCTTACTTGCTATCATTCGACTCTGCTTCCTGAATTTGCGCTAAGTTAGGGTCACCTTGTTGCTGAGCATTAGTCATTTGCTTCAATTGATTCAATTGGGCCTTTAGAGCCTGGATCTAATAATTGCAATAATTAATGGTAAATACATCCTTCTTCCTAAAAGTGCTAAAACTTTGGACAATAGCTTATCACAAGGTACCTCTTTCTGTTTATCCTTTTCTGCCGCTTCCGCTTGTTTCTAATTTCCGTAAGTCAATGTAATTAAAATTTAAAATTTTAACTCCATTTTAATGCTTATTAATACCTTCAGTTCCGCAGCTGTCGGCTTTCCATCAATTTTATCGAAGCCCTCAAAAATTATCCTGTACTTTGTACTTTTACGAATATTTGGTTCGTCTGGAGGAAGATGCTTTCTTACTTCATTGCCAGACTTAACGAGATCAACAATGAAGAAATTGACTATTTGTGTACTATGAGTATATCCAAATAACGAACATTAACATACCACTTTATACAGTTCAAATATTGACTTTATTGCTCCATCGCGAACTTCGCCAGCTGTATGATCTAAGCATACATTCAGAAACTAATATAAAAATAAATTGAGAATAAGTTATACTAAATAAATCACATTATTTAAGTTTAGAAGAGTTCAATATTCGAACGAGAAGTTAGCGAACACTTACGTTCATCATATTCGAAATAGTCATTCCGCTGTAATTATGAGAAATGAGTGTTACAGTTTCAAAATCAGATATATTCAGAGAAGCAAACGATCTACCTTTTCTTTCCCAATCCGAATTCCTTGTGAAGCGATGCTAATAATTCAATTCTACTTTCGGCTAATCGTCGGGGCGGCTGCATCACAAGTGGTAGACATTAGTATCGCAAATACTGAGAACTTGCAAGTATTATAGCACATATCGTGACAACAAACCATGTTGTATTTAATACCTGCTTTCGAAAAGGCTGTACACACTGTGTCGTCACTATATTTTGACTCTAAAATGAAACGCATACGTTATCTCTTCTATATTCATATGGAATGACAATCGAATTGAGCAATCAGGAATTTACCTGAATTTCTGGATACTTAGCAATTTCTAAAATGAAGTCCATCGTTACTGTCCTTAACCTTACAGCCTATTTAAACGTATACAACTTCAATCCTTATACAGTTACAATGAGATCAAAAATAGCATGATAATTCTAATTCGTACCGTTTCTCCAGTCTTTAAAATCAATAATGGCAAAATCTGTCGGAATACGTATAATAATAATTATTAACATAAATCATAACTTTTCAGCAGCAGCAATACATACTAATTACAAATTTCAATGCATTTATTTATACCTTCTCAACCACATTAGCAAATTCTGGCTTACTGCAATTACTATTTAATATTAAAACGGTTAATAAGTGAAGTCTTCAAGTTTTACACATGCATCAAAAAATAACCTGTTGGCCTTAGTCATATACTGGGTTAATAGTATCCGCATTAACTCCAAAACACGTGAATATACCTGTAAAGACATGCGAAGAGCTATTATTACTAAAACTTTGACGATAACACTAACAGACGCTCATGTATTCAGCCTTTTAATTTGGTTTAACACGTACAGAAAACACGTTATCTTTCGTTCCTTTTTTAAGTGCAAAAATACATCCGCGTACTACTTCTTTCGAATCACTCGAAGCGATTGGTGCCTCACTATCTCGCACTTTGTTCGATAAATTTAGAAAAGACTTCTCTCGGATTGACCAGTTTCGAGAATAAATTCCTTTTACCTAAACAAAGAATGTGATATATAACTTCCTCTTCCAAGAACACAAATTACTCATTTCATACTAACAATATCTAAACCAAGGACATCTAAAACATCAGAAGCTTCCCGAAGCTGCTTATCTGTAAGAGGTTCGGGTTCTATTCATAAAGAAATGAACGATTAGGATAAAGGAATAGCTAAGCTCATTAAGTAGTTGTCATCAAAATACTTATATATATTTCTCGTATATTAGCGTATAACGTACCATCAGACTGAGATGCTGTAAAAATTCATTAAAATGAAATAAAAAAGCAGTAAGTATAAAGGGGTGATGAAACAGAGCTACACCAACTACATAAAGTTAGTATAATTATAATGGCGAACAAATTAAAAGTGATATGAAGGCTATCTACGCAACTATATCAAGTTCCCTATTACGATACCTTCCTCAGTATGAAGAGGTTTATCATTTTCAAATTTTTCCGGTGACCTAAGATTAAAAATTGTATCAAAAGTCACAATAGATAATAATGTAATGAACCACAACTACATAGTTATATAATTATCATGGGCAGTTACTTTTTTTGTACTGCAGGTAGCGGCTTGCTGTCGTAACTTTCGTAAGTATCACTAGCCTACAAAATAAAATGATCCATTACATTTAGCGATTCTTAGTCTTCACTTACTACAGAATTTATGGTAAACGGAAACTAGCCATCTGCATAAATTGAACAACTATAGACCTGAGTATTTGTTTGTCCAGCAATTGGTGTTAGTACGACAGGTCGAGGTGGTCGTTCTTCAGGCTTGACAGAGGATACTGAATCCTGATCATCTTGATTTTGTGTTTTCGCTTCTGAGCTTTCCTTCATAACATTATCTAACACTGTATCAGATAGAGAAATAGGTTCATAAATAAAAACAAGCAAAATTTACGCAATTAATCAATGATTTATTAATTTCTTAAGTTACTTGATCTGTCGGTAGTTCGATTCGGCTAGATTTGTTTAAGATAAATCCAATGATTAATGATTATCCTGACTTTAATTTATAAAAGTACTTAGTGAAAATTATCGTGAAATACCTGTAACTCCAACAATTCTCTTAAATTAAGTTCTCGATATACTTGCAACCGATATTCGTCCATTGTTATCTACAGTATGGAATACAATGGCGTACATTTAATAGTTTTATACGAAATGTTGTCTTAAGTATCCAATCGTTGCTATAGTCATGAATACTTCGTCTAACCTTTTTGGCCTTAGCTGAGTCATAATCTTCAATCTCAATCGCCCGACGTTTTTCCATTTCATATCTGCCTAGTCGGTCAGCAGCCTTTCATCCAATTTATCAGTTGTAATAACAGATAAAGAGAAACAATTTAAATTATGCGCAAGGCTCTGGAACTATGATAGTGTAAATCATTATAACGCGTAACGAATATTTAAAATAAATCTTTATTATTATTCGATAAGAGCCATTGCCCACAGTTAGACAGTTATTCTCAAAAGGAACATCTACTATCATAATTTACAGACATTCAAAAGATACCTTTTGTAATTCTGAAATGGCGTACTTTAACTTTTTTGCATATTCATAACGTTCAGCTACGGTAAGAATCAGGGAGAAAGAATACGTTCAGTATCTTCAACAATTTGATATTTAAAGACAAATCACTGCGTAAAATTTAGTAGTTTTATAGATAAGAAAAAGAAAACTTAACCTAGGACGGCGTCATGTTTTTTATCGTCAAGTTTACGCACAAGCTTGGAAATTTCAGCGTCTTGGTATGAATCGAATACAAGATCATCTGAAGGTGATAATCGCTCAATTCGTACTGTTTTCTTTAGCGGATCATTAAAGGCATTATTTACTTTATTTCGTAAAGATATAGTATTGTAATCATTTAAGTGTGAACCGTCACCACCATCGTCTATGAAATCGCCAAGAACATTTACAGCTACCATGCCAACTTGGTTGTATAGGTTATATTTGTTGACGTGATTTTTATGTAATAATATTTTGATGAAACGCGCGTCTCCTTCAAGGAACACTGATTTTAATTCTCTCGCCTTTTTTGTTAAATTTAAATATAATAAAAATTACTTATATTGTAGGAAAATTAAGAATGGATTATATTTTATCTTAGTAAAAGGCTAAGGGTATAGGTGATATCATAAATATAACGCTTACGATGGTGATTTAAAAATTTGCCTGGGACTTACCTTATAGCCGGTGGTGGCATTGTCTGATAGTGTAATGTAACTATTGAAAATAAATACCAGTAACGGATGAGAGCGAGTATAGTAGTACAAAATTAAAAACAGTAAAATTTTACCCAAGTCTGGTGTAACTGGAGGAATGCCAGGGATAATTATCGTTTCCTGAGCCACCAATAAATAACTCAACTTTGGAAGCTACATAATGTGTTTAGAATTTTCGTTAGTAAGTCATATGAATACAATTATCAAGCAGACTTTCGACAATTAATACTGTAGGCGTATCAAACAGTAATATCAAATTTATATCACAGGTAGCGATGTTTTTGGATATACTGTATTATGTATGAAAAGTCAGGTACTGCCATTATAATTATACAATTTCTAACAAACTACTACATTTTTATCAGGCACAGATACGCATTTTTACTAGAACATGCGTGGTCGAAAGCATCTAACAGCGCACAAAATTTTTCTAATCTAAGGATAGTAGTTGAATAATGAATGAATGAACCAAAATAATTCTAAATTCTTGTTAAAATAAGCACAACTACAGCTACAGTTAGTTTCTCTATCGCAATAATACAGGATAAGAATACAGGAATCACTTACCAATTAAAAAGTGGTGAGAAAGAAATTGTACTTTGCTCAACTGTATTTTCCTCTCAAATTGTATTATCAGTTCTTGGGGGTATACACAAAATCTGAGTATTAGTAAGAAGATAAAAAAGTTTTAGTATCATGGATTAGTAATAGTTTATTAAGCTAGGTAATTTGTGGGATATAATTATATATAGTACATCCAAATAAATTTAGCAAGGCTGAACTTATGCATAACTCTGACCAACAAACAAAAGCTGAATAAAGTGTACGTGCATGTATGCATAAAAGATACTGACATACATTCAAAATGAAATTTTAAATATACAGTACGTGCTCACTATTTAATATTAATAACCATAATTATACAGCACAGTGTACATCGCTATTACGATCTGTTAATTAATGTAATCTTAGGCATAGTAAACAATATATTATTGTATCATCACTACTGCCTAATAAGACAGAACTATACCTATTACATACTTTTAGAAATTGTAACACATTGTACAACCGATCATTTTTATGCGCTTTATTAGTAATTAACAATATTAAATCTTTATTAAATATACATCGTAGTATTTAGTTTACGTCACAAACCTTGAAGATTGCCATCCTTTCGAGTAAGGAGAATGAGCCTATTAACAGCAATAAGCAGTAGCATGTCATTCAAAAACTATGAGTAAAACTGTTTCGAGTGAGAAATATAAAACGTAACTCCGTAATTTCTTAGACAGCTTATCGACTAAACTGTTACACAGATATTTACATTTAGTATGTAGTAAATAAAAATAAATGTATAAACTCTGAAGCACAATAAGTAACATGCCACAATCGCTACACGCTATCATGCGCAGAATTCAAATTCCAAGAATGCCGCATAGTATTTCGTGACTTATCCCACCAGTAGTCAATTATGGTAATCTGTTTTAATTTTAGTACTAAATCACGTTTTAATTCTTTAATATATAAATCCTGTACTTTCCTAATCTTTTAATGTGCCGCTCATAACCTGAAAGATAATTTACTGATATATAATATGTACACTGTATTATATCAATAAGTAAGAATTACTGTCAATAGAATGCTGTAAAACCCTCAAAATGCTATGTTCTAAAGATACCACAATAGCGTTCTTACGGAATCTAAAGTGGCCAGTTTAATACCTACTGACACATTACTGTACCTCTCATAGTATAGTAGCTTAAGATGTTTTAAAGTACATGCAATTATATTAACATATCGCTATTAAATTGTCAAACTAGGTAATATGTTTATAAACAGTATGCATATTTACATACCTCTAAATCTCCCGGTAAGTAACCCTCTTCTGATCCGGAAGAATGAACAACTTGAAATGAAATTTTCTTAGGCATTACAAAGAAAGCTATCTATAATCATTCGATGCAATACAAAACACGGTACAATGGTCCAAGTTTAATCCAAAGCGTTTAATCTTGTATTGAGGTTTCTTTTAAAATATGGTATTTATAGTTCTAGAATTACAAGTTATTTAAGTAACCCACGAAAGCATCAATTTCCATATTGGATATATCAGAGGCTTATACCGTTGCAAAAAATCATGGCAATTACAACACACGATATAGATCAGCTATCCTATCAAGGGCATTGTAATATATTATTACAACTTTCGCAAATGGCCAATATAAACGTAAAGGCATAGGTGAATAGGAGGGAAAAGGAATCAATAATTGACTCTAGATATAAGCGTATTTTCAGCATTTCTATTCCACAATCATTATAAGCATTCAATTTTGAACTGTGAGCCTTATTCATCATGGTGATGATTTATAAATCTAAATCTGTTAATATGTTTCGCTAAGATAGACCACACTGAAAAAGAAATAATCCGATCTTGGTATGCCTAATATCATTGATACTTTACTAATCCACTCTTCCGAGAAGATAGCACCTGTAAATGACTGCATCGATCGTTTCAACGCACCTCATTAACTTGGTAGTTGGTACCTAGTGATTTTGATATACACTTATGCATCTACAACCTGTACAGATAAGTGGAGTAGAGGATAACATTATTTGGTTGTACGAGAAGCAAACTTCAAATGATCCTACGCGTACCCTCCATATTTATATGCTACGTTGGTAAAAAAAGTAAACGTCGATATGTCTAATACAATTGAATAAAAATAGTCCGTTGCTATTGCTGGATTGGCGTAAGCTCCCCTTAGCCCATACCCAATATTTTCTCTGTTGATGTTATCGAATCGTTGTTACATTATTGAAATCATTCAGTAAGTATATTATCATTACTTAAGATAAAGTTCATAATTATCACGCACCGCATCAACGTAGGACAAGAGCGAAGAATACGGATATCTTCATGAGTATATTGCAATTACAGTACTGTACCATAGTCTATTTTAAATGATTGCTTCTAGGTCGTCACCAACAATACAGTACCAACCCCTTTTCTCACACAGTTACTGCATGGTACGATAGGATCTCGATTTTAATCTACTTTGCAATTCAACAAGTTCCGTGTCAAGTTGGTTATCATTTATGGATCTTCAACTTGTATCAGAGACTAAATAAAATTCCTAAGATTGCATCCCGCTGTTGATAAGTAAAAAGAATGGCACACTGCGTACTACATGGTGTGTTTATATCTTATAAAAGTATCGCTAGGGTACGACTGTGTTGTACTGGAGGTAAAATATGACGCTGTCCATGTTATGCTATGATATATTCGTATCCATTCAGAACTGTCAGGTACTGACAGTCAATATGTTGTACAGTCATATAGTATTCATTTCTTTTCTCAATCTTTCAGCACCATAAAGATGTATGTGCTATCGCATGCTACAGTAAATAAGAGGAAAGATCGGATAGACACCTTCTCTTGACTCATCAGCGCTGTATTTTTCAACTACAATGTCCATTTTAACCTTCGCCTATTCATTGATCAATAAAAGTAAAAGTTAATGAAGCAGATACATCATCTTAGTGCCAAGAGAGTCTTGTAGCCCCTGCATGTAGCGCCTACTATCTAAAACGACGCCATTAATCACTGCAATGGACTGGAAAGTACTTGGTTACCCCATGAATTTAGGCAGTCATTTTACTCGCCTATGAAAAGCTTGTAGTGAGTCACGTTACCACAATAAAAGTCTAGTCATTGACAATGTTTAACTTGACAACCAAATCACTTACCAGGGTGAGCTTGTAGCACAGTGTGCAGATAGTATTCAATATCAGTAAAATGATAGATTAAAGCATAACTAAGCATAGAAGATTAATGCTAGAAGATCATCAAGGCGATAGTTCATATTTACCTCATGATAATTACAAGAATGAGTCAATGAAACATGGAAAAGTCCGCTGAAACTTGCTCCAATGTTTGTATCCCGTCAGCGAAGGGCGGGAAGATAGAAAGTTCTGCTTTACTGTCCCTCTGTACAGTACAGTACTGTCAAGTGTCAACTGAGTGAATACGAGAAATTGTATGAGCAAATCGCTTCTTGCGGTACAGTGTACAGTACAGTGCTTACAGTACTTTACGTCTGTATGGTACGGTACTGTACAGTACAGTACTGCATGACTGTGCAGAGTTCCGTCTCGTCCGTCTGGAGATCGTTCGGATACCCAACTCTGCTTCACTGTCACTCTACACTATCAACTCAGTGAATACAGTACTGTAGAGTACAGTGCTTACAGTACAGTACTTTACGTCTGTACGGTACGGTACAGTGTGAGTGTGTAGAGTTCCGTCTCATCCGTCTGAAGATCGTTCGGATACCCAACTCTGGAGCAATCTACAGTACAGTACAATCCTGCTGATGGAAGAGACAGGTAAAAGATGTACTGTACAGTACCGTAATGTAGCATTTCCAAGTTGTTTTGCAACATGTACAGTAGTGATGCTCTCCAATTTCGATTGGAACCACATCCAATATTTAGCAATAAGTACAGTATGCCTCAAGGTTGCAAGCACAGAGTTTAAACTTCTCAACTAAGAAGCTCGGGTAACCAGCATACTGTACGTAATTGACGAGAGGGTGCATATTGTGCTGTACAGTGTTGATTTTTTTCGGCATTGATGTGATGTTGGATAATTCTCGAATTTGATTTGATTTTTTGTATAATGTGACATCACTAACATGTTGCAGTAACACTACCCTAGTTACTGAGCATGTAAACTAGACAAGGATAATGATTACTACAGCATCCTGCAATAGGAAGCACTGGTTGCAGAGTATACGTAGTGTAGTAAGGTGGTTCTTTGCTGTACCATGCACACACACACGAAAACCAATACTAGATGGACTATCTATACGATGATCCCTCTTGTTGTTATGCGTTCGCAATAATCGTATTCTAATCCTGAATCATTTCTTCATCGTGCCTGATTGATTACTCCTGCGATATGTCAATGACAGAAGATAGTATCTACTTGAAACAGGCTCAATCATTATTCTTAATTATGACTACTGTACTTTCCTGAGGGCAATAAGCTGGACTAAAATGACCAGGTATTACTTCGAAAATTAAAATGAATCATTTTAGAGGGTAAGCTACAGTTGGCTCGTACTAGCTATCTGTAAATTCAATTTCGTAAAATAAGCGTCAAGTCCACATTTTACGGAACGTGAACTCCATCGATTATTTCGTCAGTGTACAGTACAGTAGGTATACGTATTCATTATGCAGTACTGTGTTGATGATTAATGTTCCCTATCAATTATTATTATCAGTCTAGTTTTACATGCCTTTCATTAATTGAAAAGATAAACACAAAAGTTCCGTAACGATGGCAGCATAAGTAGTGTTAAGAAATCGACATTTGAACTGCGTATGTGCTCCAAACAAATCCTATTGGTACAGTAGAGTTGGGCGACGTCCTTACCGTAGCACAGTACAAGAGTGAAGACACCAATCTGCGCATACTCCTTTATTACAAGGATTTGACGGTATACTTTGTACTGTAGCTATTACGAGTCTTCCAAAATTGGAAATCTAGGGACTTACTAAATTGGATTTATTCTATTTTATTTTGTTCTTACTTTAAGGTAAGGGAGATATTTGAATTTCCAACTTCGTAAGATATCGTCTGATAGCAAATTCGCTTGCTAATCAATTTTTATAAAAAAAACTGTTTAATTAATTAATGATATTGCCAGCGTCGGGCAAAGCTGTATGTATATACACTAGTTGGTATAATGTAGTGTAGAACTAATAAAAGTCGGCAACTTTGTTCCGTTCGATACGGTAATCAACATGTGCAAAGCTGATTTTCTTTTATTTTATTTTATTTTAATTAATTATTAATATGCTAATATCCACATCACTACGTAACTGCTGTACTGTACGGCACAGTCAGAACAGAACAACAGATTTTAAAGATCATAGCCAACTGGCTATGCGAGTCTACATCCGTTTAGGTCAGTGGGTTAGTGGTGTCGAAGTGGATAAGCAACATAGTAATCTTGCCAGCCGTCTATTTTTATTGATGTAATTTATTATTTTTTTTTTTTTTTACCTGCCGTATTCAAAAATTTATTTGGGTCTAATAACAACATGGACAGCCATACAGTACAGTACAGTACATACTGTACAGTGTACAGTCCACTTTACTCTACCGTACGTACGGTAGAGTACTGTACTGTACCACGCAAGTATTGTATTGTGCTTACAGTATTGCCCATGTGCGTGTATTTATGTATCAATCCTTAGACTGAACTTGGAAGTGCTGACTAGCGATGTGACTGCAGCTGCTGCAGTACGGTACTGTAGTGTAGAAGTGCATACTGTAAGTTAGTGGATTCGTTCTTGCACGCTGGGAGATTTTCGCAAGCTTATATCGCACGAGTGAAGGTTGTTAAATCACAAGTCTCATTTTCGCTGTGTGGAAGTGAAGGTTGGGCATTGGCTGTGCTATAGCGTATTGTGCAAGCTGTTCTTGCCACCTTTGTATCTGCAATTCGTTCACTACTGCCGGTTAAAGTACGGGTAGCTTTAACGTACACCGAAGGCAACTTTGATGCCATCTACAGCGACAATTATGAGCAGCGACGTTGGTAACGAAGTGATTTTTACGACTGGTGGTAGTATGGCGGTGACGCATAATTCGTCGCCTTCCAATATACTTCTCAATGATACTGAACTCAACGAAGATTATGATCATGAAACGGCTAGTGGTACACACTCTCAATCGTATATTCAAGTGAAGATGGAGAGCGAAAAAAGTGCAAACATCTCAGGCAAGGAAGATGAGACGAACGAGTATTTACTTAATACGAACGACGTCACAGGCGACGATATGACTCCAATAAACAGAAATGCTAAATTGAATGTAACATGCGGTAAAAATCATGGGGTATTAGATTTATCCAAGATGTATCGCGGTAATAAAGGCTCATGTATTTATTTTCAAAATGCATGGATAACACCCAACGAATTTCAACGCATTAGTGGCAAGCAAACGACGAAAAATTGGAAACGTAGCATTCGCTATCGTGGACGACCGTTAAAGAAGTATGCCGAAGCTGGTTTATTATCAATAGAAGATGAATCACTGGGAAGTAAAATGGTAAGCATGTTTGTTTTACAACTATCCATTGTATCCATACAGCAGTCAGTCCAACTGTATGCATATGATGGAGATTGCAATAATGATCGATTGTAGCAGCTACATTTTCACAGCGTCTCTTTACCACGTCTAATTTGACTTGAGAAATTGGAGAAAAGTGTGATTTTCCACCATCGACATTTCAGCTATTGTTCACTTTGAGTGCGCTAACTGGTCGTGACGTCGTAACGCCATTCGTGCAGTCTCTTCTCTCCTTGATTCGACTGTATTGTATTGCTATTGTACCGGTACTGTATTGTCAAGATGAATTTCCGACTGCGGCCCTCTTACAGTGCATTGACTGTAGTCTCGGCAGTACAATGCACTGTCGACCAGCATCCCATACTGTAGTCGGCGATGTTTGGTCAGTACGAGTCTAGGCACGATTAATCCATACTGTCCACCTGAGTAGTAGTGAGTACACCAGACTGCTTTCGCCGTCATTATTGCCGCTGCTGATGGACCAACGACGGATGGAATGCTACCGCCGCATTCTACCCTACGACCGTCTACTGGCTTACAGTACGTACGGTAAAGGGTAAAATCGAGCATACTGTGTCAGTAAAAGGAAATACGGTCAGACGGTGCGATTTTATGTCAAGAGGATCAACGTCCGGTGCAGTCATAGACTGTCAAGCAAAGGAGCGCAAGCTTGCAGTGGGCCGATAAATCGCACCACCTTTGGTGTAATGGTGTGCGGCAGGGCTTTGACTGGTGGAGCACAGTCCCGGAAAAAAAAAATGAAAAAATAATTACATAATTATGGTATAAGCAATGCCGTCAAGAATGATTCTAATACAAGTTCTACAGTATTCACTCATCTTCTGTCCATACTGTACAAGTCGGTACAGCGCATTGTCAGAAATTGAAGTCAATCGCGTACGCTTCGCTATACTCTACTGTACCCAACCAGTTTGCCCTCGGGACTAGTACGTACACTAATAGTGCGTAACAAACTTGAGCATTTTGGGGGATTTATGAGGGGGGGTAAAAACTTGTCGGCAATTCTTATTTCATTACTGTAATCATTTGTCCATCATGTACAATAATTCAAACCCTACTTGTATTTGTATACGCAATATACATTCATAACAGCAAGCTAATCAATCATATTATGAGATATGACTGCACCAACCTTGTTAGACACAAGTCGCACAATTTGGCTAATAGCGCAAATTGCGTTCCAATATTCATCTTGGTGCAAACTAGAGATACAAATTGAGGCGGTATCAACAACAATCATTTTCCATCATTCTCTTCTTCAGCTTGTTTTATACCATAGTCTAAAAATGGATACTTCTATACTGAATTGAGGGGGAGTGCAATGCATTTTGTTACCGTACAAACGTTTCAAATGGGTGTAAAAACGGCTGTGTCATTGATTTTGATTTTGATTTGCATGATGGCACGGTCATTGGGTATGATGGTAGTAGAATGCAATGGGCTACTGAGTGTGTATGTTCACCATAGTCGATACAGTTGCAAATACATCAGTAATAATGCATTAGTAACAACCAATCTAATGAATAGACGAACGATATTTTGGAAAGCTCTATTGGGTTTCATAAACGGAGAAAACCTATTTGCAAACATCTAAAGCCAAAATTTGCCAGCGTCTTGCTTAGTTTTATTGCCATTGCTAAGCCTGCATTTTACGCGTAATCGAGTACACTACTTCGTATCACTTGGACCTCTGTAATAAAAGTTCAACGATAACGTTGAATAAGAACGGCGCGATCAAAGTCATATTCATACATCGATATCTTAACATAATGACACGAACAAGCCTACTGTGATTACATTTATTGCACATGCTATAAAGCCTATGTGAAATTTTCTATTTTTTTATTTAAAACCGTTTTAAACTGTTTTATTCCTCTCACTTGTTCCCATTACTATAACGCTAATAGCGCTAACCCGTTAACCTGGTAGGCTGCGTTTCGGACATATACCATACATTCCTTTCATCAAGTTGATGTAATTACGTAGTTTATTAGCCTAGACCTGATCAGTCTCTGCTTTGTATAATGTACTACACTATATTCTATAGTATTTGCTACCGCTGGCTAATTGCAGAAGTGTTAATAATCAGACTTGTAGAATTCTTCAAGGATGTAGTGTCCAGTCTAATATAAGGTTTCTATCTTTACTGATAAGAGTTAAATTAGGGGCGTAATTAAATCTACGTCACATCGATAAAAATGGACACTAAAGTTCAATAATCGTCGTAGTATTTGTGTTGAATAATTATTCTTTTATCAATTTTCGATGACGATGTAATATTTATAGAATCCTTTAAAATTTATCATTACAATCATCTAAGTATTATAGATTTTCATTTACGTGTTATTATTTTTAAACCGTCATGCAGGGTCTTTAGACATAGACTCCGAAGAGAATATTCATTGATCAGTTTTCATATTCATTTCGCATTACAAAATTCATAAATTACAGAGCTCTCATGGGTTTGTGATGTATACCATTAACGTAATGGTTGCATTATTTTTAATTTGTATCGCTGAGTAAAAGTGATAACAGCTATCAAGATAATAATCAGATCTATACTGCATATAACACAATACCTTGGTTGTGTTTATCATCCTTTGCTCATAGGATGAATGATCAATAAAAAAATAGGCATTTAATTTCGTTTGCCTTAAAATGAATTATTTAATACACTACACCGACAATCCACACATTTCATATATGTTTACAATAGGACGTTTTAATTTGTAAGTTGATGTAAAGCTTCGAATTGATTTACGGTCGTATGTGTAGAGTACTAATTCTGTCATTTCCCGATATTTACAGACTTTAAGTAATGGAAGTTTTCTGGAGTGTTTAACTCTAATGCTCCGTATAAACATGATAAAATTCAATCATTAGATGATAACGCACTTTTATGTACTCTTAACAGACAACAAAACCTACCCACGCGCCCACATCTCCACCAGGAATTAACCTTCGACGAATTACGATAATGAATAAACCTAACACTGACAGCCCTTCTGCAAGTATCATGGGCCATTCGCATATGAGAAATAAAAATAGGAAGAATACTATTCCTCGCAAGGCTGCAAAGATTGCCTCGGATTCGTTTATAATCAACAAGCAGCCAAATTTAGAAACAAATAGACATGAATTTGTAAATCACAGAAAACCTCCTAAATTTTATAATAATGATAACAAGGCCTGCTCATCTGGAAGGCATATTGAACAATTTCCGTCACCGCCGAAAATTCGCTCAATAATGAGATCAGATATTGATGGTAAGATGAGGAAAATATTATCTAGCTTGTCAATTATGTGGAACATTCCATATTTCTCAAGTTTAAATATAGTCTTGACTAATTTTTTCGTCTTATTGACAATTTTAGATCGGCCAAACAGTATAAAGTCTTCCAACTCACATGATTCCTTATCTACTTCTAAACAGTATTGTCGAAATGTACCTCCTTCTTTACACAGCTTAAGTCCTCATAACAGCAATGCAGAAAATTTTGAAAGTATGTCATACAATACAAGAGAATGTAGAGTCATGTAATAAAGTCTCTTTCACGATTATTGTATCTGATGATAAAGCTTTTACTTAGCTTTGTAGGCTATTAGAATAAAAATCTTATTAGCAAAGTAATGTACTCAATTTCTAATGGTTTTGTTCTTTTTACTTTTAGTAAAAAACTTAAAACCTTTAGCGGACTGGGATGTAGATGATGTTTATAATTTTGTGTCACAAATCTTATCATCGGATGAAATTGCAAATATCTTCCGAGAGCATGAAATTTGTGGTGAGGCATTATCACTACTGAACGAAAATCATATGTTATCTACCATGAATATAAAGCTTGGCCCAGCCCTCAAAATACGCAGCCATGTTATGAAGATGCTCCGAAAACCTAGTGTACATTATTGGAATAATACGTAGGTTTATCTGTTCTATAAAATTGTCGAATATTTTTCTTTCTTTATTACGGTAAATGGCAGTATCTATTAACGGTAAATATAGATTACAAAAGTATCAACAATTTACTTCTAACGCGCCTTTGATCTTATTGTGGTGTTTATGTATAGGCCACTAATCGAAAACTAACTCGTCAATATCGAAGAAGTAACCGTTGATGCTAATTTGGTATTATAAATCAATAAAGCAGAATTAAGAAATTCACTATTAATAAGTAATACAAAATTTTGAATATTCACTTGGTTATCAGTATTAACAAAGGGAGTAGTCGCACATAAAAGATTTAACCAACTCTTACAAATGATGTAATGTGGTATACTGTATTAAGGATGATCTTTTGTATTGAAAATTATAAGTTTTAGCGATTATAATGGATACCATTCTAAAGAATTAACTGGTCTTTTACACTTGCAATATCTACATTTACACTCAACAGTTAAATCAGCAGTAATATAAACCTATACCAATGTCATTTGTAAGCATACGCTTTATAGTCATACTCGTAATAATAGGAGTTAATCATGCTAGCTTTACTAAGCTTGGCTAGGAGAACATTTTTTTCCCCCATCTGATGAGGCTTTCCATCTACCTTGTAACATACTAGTTTATTTTATACGGCATGATAACATCTATTATAAAAGTTAAATTGAGCACATTTGGCTAGGGCACTTATCAGCTCATTACGATAATCGCATATCTGACCAACTAGTATCGATCGAGCTATAGATATCTATCGAACATATCGTGATTAATATATGCTAGAATATTGATATTTCTGTCTTAGCTTGACTCTGATGGGTCGAAGACCAAAATACGTTGAGATTGGTTTCACATTGTATTCACATCATGGGAACATGTCATACATGTTGTGATTGGAAATTTGTGTAAGTTATTTAAATATTGTGAAGATTGCGATTTTTGTCATCCAGGATTGAAAGCGGATACGATCTTAATCCCTGTAATATTGCATCAATCGTGACGCTTTGTAAAGTAATACACGCTTATGTGGATGTAAAATTGAACAAAAGATAATCATTTTGTCGTAGCTATAAAGTACTTCACTCTCAGTGATGAATCTAATATATGACTAATTGAAATTATGGTCGCATTTGAAATCAATAAATTAACAAACTGATATTTGCTACGTACAGGACAACATTGCCTACTTGTTATTTTATATGATTGAACTGTAAATAAGTAAAAGAGTTGCAATAATCATAAAATTTGTGCACAAGTATTAGATAAAATGTAGTCTTTACTGTTGAGCAATATACATACCCAGTGAATCGTAATTTAAAATTAATTTCGAAATCTTTGATGATGTGCAAAGGTTCTATATTCATTTCCCATCAAGTTTTTACTACTAAAGTAGTTGTGATTATCTTGCAGACGATCAACTTTGCACCAGCAGGAATACAGATAGATTACATGCGGTATAAAATGTTGTATTAGGTAAATTATTTAAATTGTGCCGTAGCGACACAGTCGAGCGTTTGTGTACACGTCCGTGTTCAAAATGAACTCTAGCTACATCATCTTTAGCATTTCCTTCCATCTCAACAGCAGTCTAAAAGCTAGTCGTGTCGAGCCGATACCACAGACTAATAACAGTCACTTTTAACTTATGATCAACGTAAATACAGTAGATACGGTTTTCTGTTATGGTACTTTACCTCCATTGATCTCGTAGTTAAGAGAGCATAATCAGTTCACACTGTGGAAAGTTATCATGTGTTATTTCGCACGTTTAGAACCTGTTACTTCCAACGACTGTTAACTACCGTGTAATTATATCAATGTTTATTGCTGCTCTTCTGTTTCTTTTTGGCGAATATGCAATCCAGACTTTACTAATTAACTGTACTGTAGTCACTGCAGATGCTTCCGTCATTCATCAAGTTCACATATATATGAGTATGTACCGGCTTGAAATCATGATTACTAGGCATACCGAATATTGCAGTTACAGACAAACCTCGAAGTTGGTCTATGCAGCATTTTCCACTGTATGTATAGAATAATGATATAAAGAAGGCCAACAATTTCGTAGAAACATTATTTATGACTTAAACTTATCTTAGGATTTTAACAATATTTCGACCCTTATCCTTATATACTCGTATACCGAGTAATCGCAATTATAGTCGGTGGCTGCTTAAGCTTCTTTTAGGATTTTAACAATATTTCGACCCTTATCCTTTATGTACTCGTATACTGAGTAATCGCAATTATAGCCGGTAACTGCTTGAGCTTCTTACGAAGATTTTAACAATATTTCGACCCTTATCCTTATGTACTCGTATACCGAGTAATCGCAATTATAGCCGGTAACTGCTTGAGCTTCTTGTAAAGGTTTCAACAATATTTCGACCCTTATCCTTATCTACTCGTATACCTACTAATCGCAATTATAGCCGGTAACTTCTTGAGCTTCTTGTGAAGATTTCAACAATATTTCGGCCCTTATCCTTATGTACTCGTATACTGAATAATCGCAATTATAGCCGGTAACTTCTTGAGCTTCTTGTGAAGATTTTAACAATATTTCGACCCTTATCCTTATCTACTCGTATACCTACTAATCGCAATTATAGCCGGTAACTTCTTGAGCTTCTTGTGAAGATTTCAACAATATTTCGACCCTTATCTTTATCTACTCGTATACCGAGTAATCGCAATTATAGCCGGTAACTTCTTGAGCTTCTTGTGAAGATTTCAACAATATTTCGACCCTTATCCTTATGTACTCGTATACCGAGTAATCGCAATTATAGTCGGTGACTGCTTGAGCTTCTTGTGAAGATTTCAACAATATTTCGACCCTTATCCTTATCTACTCGTATACTGAATAATCGCAATTATAGCCGGTAACTGCTTGAGCTTCTTGTGAAGATTTTAACAATATTTCGACCCTTATCCTTATCTACTCGTATACCTACTAATCGCAATTATAGCCGGTAACTGCTTGAGCTTCTTGTGAAGATTTCAATATTATTTCGGCCCTTGTCGTTCTATGTGCAATGGAAATCATGTCGCCAATTGCAATTTGCGAATGGTGCTCGGAATGCCGCCTCGGATCCAGTTCAAGTGTCCCCACCCGTGCCTTTGGACAACAGGACAGAGGACACGGAGTTGGTATGCAAGTTGAGTTGCTGACTCGTACTGCGTGACTGTGCCACTGTAAGTCTGTGTGAGCCATATTAGCCCATGGACATTACAGTACTGTATCAGGTAGAACTAGCGTTCATACCAGGAACGTGGCAAATTCCTTGTAAGCAATTTCAGTAAACACAGCCATCATCCTTAAGTTAATGCCTTGAATGGCGTTTCTCTGCTGACAAGCTCTCTCCAACTACTTCATGGCCTAATGGGGAAAGTAGACAATGAAAAAGATGATCAACAAGAGGTTGATCCATCAACCATCACACGAGAACAAGGTTACTGGCAAGAAACTTGTCTAGGAATTTGGACTAAAAGTAAAAATCAAAGTCATTCATCGTCAGAACATCCAGAGCATTCCCATATATGTAACGGAATTAACTTTGTGAAAATTTTTGTAAGTCGATAATAATATCAACAACTTAAAGGTTAAAGAAATAATTGGAGACTCCTATTTAGATGTAACCTGACTTGATACGTTGATAAGCTAGTCGAAAAGAGGAATTTGTTGATCGTAAATGTTTAACGTAGTCATCGTCTCGCTGACTAGTACGATAATACGTCAGCCGATCATTTTATGGCAAAATACAACATTGTCGAGGGTATTTTGAGTCTTGATTCCACGGTAGATAGATCTACCTAGTTTAACAAAATATGCCGATATAATGACTGTGTATTCATTTCCAGTTGCTAGACATGAAAGGGTTACGAAATAGAATCGCTTATATTCACTTTATTGCTGTATGTTCCTATCTTACCATGTGCATGATACAGTACAGTATTACTTAATTAACTGTGGTACTGCTTAGATTCATCTATCGTACCTAAATAACAGGTAATAATTCTAATCACTTGTATAACTTGGAAGAAGAGGATATGCCTCAAATGATAAATTGTACATTGTTATTATAAACTTTGTCAATTGGTAAGTTGCTCTTGCGACAATACTTCGCTTTCAAAGAGACTTGAAATATTTATGAAGCCTATATACGATATACGTATTATGAGTCATAGGATAAGACGATTTTGCTTCATGGTAAATTACTATTTTTGAACTTATTGATCAGAATTTGGATGCCACTAAAGTTAAGCCATCACCTACTCGAGGATTACAACTTATAGTTGTCGAGAGTAAGAGTAAGTTGGTCTAAAGTTGATTAATTTATTATTATAGCTTACAATTTTAAGATTGTCCTATCTTATATTTGACTAAATGATGTTCAGAAAAAGAAAGCATTCCCTTGGAACGTAATGAACCCGTTATCAAAAAGAAGCAACATGAAATGGATGATAAGGCTCTGTGGAAGTAAGCAACCGATTATAGTTCTATAGCCTAATTTAGGATATTAAACGATACAGTTTATCAAAGTAGCTTTTTAATGGGTATCAAAATAAATGTTTTGAATCAATAGAAATAGTATGTAGTTATGCTTGCTCATGAAGCAATTTCTCTATTACAGTAATCATACAAATCAGCCATATCATCGACCCAAGTCTCCACATACGAATAACAACCATAAGGAGAATGAATCCATGCTCAATAAAATTAGTTCCGTATTATATAGTAAATATCTTGCTGCAAGCACCAAGATCCAAAGTTTAATCAATAGTCCTCATCCGAAACAAGGTAATATTATCATCTTGGTTCACTGAAGTAATCGTAGCAGCAGTCAATTTCTGTAGTGTTTCTAATAAATTCGACGATATGTTGTACATTCGACCTTATATACTATAGATTTGATGAATGATACAAAGGACTTATCACATCGTTATTCAAGTACTATACGACATCTGTACTCACATGTAAAAATAAGCGAAAGAATTGACCAGGTAAGACTTTCGTTACCACTTTACTTATCGATAAATTACGAATTCATTTTTGAATATATATGATATCGAAACTGATCTTGACTTTAACATAAAGCAACCATTGTGTGTATTACATAGACTGGAAAATTTGTAGTGGCTCGACTAAAAAGGATTACTACTTGGTGGGAGAATAAAGGAAATTAAGGATCGCTGCCCATATGCCACAAATGACCTTTATGGACAGCCTAATGATGAAATGCTACGTGGCATCAAATAGATTCGATTTTTAACCTAAAGTGACCACTGCAAATGTTGCGCAGACTGGAAAATTTAAAACAGTACAACTAACTTAAATAGACTACAACTGGGTAGAAGAATAGAGGAAATTAATAAAGCCTCTGTTCATATAACCTAGAGCAAATAAATTTTACAGCTAGCTTTCATAGTGAATAATGTAATTTAAGTTAAGTTAATAACACACCTTTACAAAATATTATGAATATACATGTTCACATTATGCTAAGCCTATTTATGCGACACGCCGGTTAACAGTGTTTGAAAGTATTTTCCAGTAAAAACGGATGTATTTACGAGTTTGATCATACTGGAATAAACCTGATGATCTAGTTAAAATCGACATTCTAATTCAAGGTATATACGCGTAAGCTATTTAGAGAGATCAAACGTGGCTAATTTGGCGGTATTGAACGTTAAAATTTCTCTAAACTTTATATATAGCAATGAGTAACGGTTAAAAGATTTTGAGATTCAGCATTAGCTAGGAGCTCCATTTATCAGATGTGTAAATAGCGACAAACTGCTATTCATTTTGACATTTATTAATAAATCACGATCTCCCAAGTTTTACATCAAACTTTGTCATGTTATTGCAACACGAACTGGTTACAGGTACAGTTATGATCCATCATTTGTTAAACTTCCATGTTGGAAGATCCAATTGGTACTAATTCATTATTGTACTTTGAATTGAGGCACCATTATAGAGCAATATCTACATCGCATCGTTGTAATTACGAGTCGATCTAGTTAATGGAGCCAATCAATATAATTTCTAGCATCGGTAATCAATGAAAGGAAGGGTAAAATTTTATTTTACGTATCGATTACAGCACAGTCTCCTACCAACTCCGCCATACTATTTCAAAATTATGCTCATCAGTTATTATATAAGTGGCTGTACAGGTTAGAAAGTATGTACGACCTTAACGCTCTTTCCCCTATTCCAATAACAATTGACTAGCTTTTAACTGAAAAAATTTCACTTAATTGTTATAATATCAATGTAGTACTTAATTTCATGATTTAAAATCTGTCACAATTTATATCTTGACCTTTCAGAAACTTACGCACACGCTAAAATACTCTGTAAATACTGGTATCTATCATATGATTTATTTCGAAGGTAACACCTTTTCACAATTGTCTTTATGGCAATATAGGCAAAAATGTCGTACTATCTTAGAATTTAAATAATAATCGAAGTTCATATCATTAAACTAAAATATCGATTTGAAAGGTGGTTATTGCATAATATCTGCAATACATTCGTGAACTTTGATAAGTCTTAAAAATATCTATCAATATTCTAAACACGGAATGTCATATACCATATAGTACAGACTTCAATGCAGTGTAATAGACGAGTAATTAATAGTACCATTATACAACAATGACATCAAAAAAGCTTTCATCCAATTCTTATCATAGTCCTCGAAGCGAATAACAAGCCAACCAAACTTGTAAATTTTCATACATGTTCCGTGATGTCTACGGCGAAAGTAAGCGATCATCGGCGCTAGATTTCTTATCTTGAAAGAGTTCCGGCTGTTGAACGAAATTAAAAAAAGTATACGAGTAAAGTAAAGTAAATAGTTAGTATAGCGATACAGTAACCTATCATAGCTTACTGATAAATTATTGATATATAGCTACACCTGTGTAACGTACAGTCTTAACACAAGGTAAATTTGCAATGCGTTTAATAATATTTACTTACAGAATAATCATTATCGCGATTTTCCCAATCGCCAGTCGAAGTAAACGATTTCTTACACCGACACATATAGTCACAACCATCCTACATATCATACACAAGAATAATATCAGTTCCGATCAAAATTTATTATCATCTCTAATTCAAGTTTCAACCACATAATGAAATTGAATTAATTTACAGCAAAGTTTAGCTAATTCAAGTCACAATTGAGTTATATTTGAATAATACGATATCCAAGTTTCAAAATGCATTAATTTTTGAAACAATAATCAACAAAATTTTACCTATTCACAATAATTGATAACTTACCGCTTGCAAGGTAAAGAAAGTAGTCCAAAGATCATAACATGGAACGGCCTCCTTTCCGCGAGCTCCATATAGCAGACATTTCAATAGTATACCTAAAACAAGAAAGCCAGCCAGAAGTGCTATAACACTAATGGTGGTATACCTTGTCGTTAGCTATTTGGATGACCATGCTACTAGTGTGTTGAGCTAGCTGAATACTAGCACACATAAAAACTTACACTATTACAAAAATAGATCCAGGACTTAGAGGTAAAGGTGGCCCGTTATCATTTCCACACGAGGCACCAGTAGCTATTTCGAATAGATAATAGCAGTCATTCGTCACCGGAGTTGTCTCTCTATACTCTTCTAGTACCTTCACTGTGCTCTATGATAGTAATTACGAATAAAAAAAGAGATAACGTGATTAGTAGTCACGTTTGAAGTCTTTACATCAGTATATTCACGATTCTATCCTATACGCTTACTATATCAGTTATTCGAAAATAAGAAACTCTTAAATATTAAACTTCTTTAGGCTTGAACCAAAAATACTTAACTCGCAATGACATCAGTTATAATATCATTTTATTAGTTATTACCCTTACCGAAGTACCAGCAGCACAGGTTAGCATTATTAACCCTTTACGCGGTCTTTTATTGCAGTGGCTTTTATAAGCATCTCCGTCTCCATAAGTCAGTAACATCCAGTTGGCTACCAAGATAATAGTTATAATCGAATTATAAGAAATGCTACCAGTTTCCATTTATATATTTATAAATTCAGTATAAAATTTTACGCATTCATAACATTCAAAAACGCAGTAATATCAATTGAATTTTAAGTTTAAATCCTATTGCAGAATCATTCTACCAGTTTGGAAATGGAAACAAGTAAAATGCAACTCTAACTTGCTACCATTTCAATTAATCAGCCGCATACACGTACTTCGTGATGATGATTGATGAACAGTGCAACAGTACTACAAAAATTATGATTATACAAGTATACGCAATACAGTATAAATTGAGCTCAATTTGCTAGGTGGTAAATAATATAGAATTAATTGTTGAAATAGTCAAAGATTAACTAGAAGGCACATTTTAGCTTAATAGTATAACTTTTCGATTACATAATGCATGACTTACATCCAGCCTTAACGGTAAGATTTGCAGTCTTTCCAATAGTATAATTTTTACTGTCTTTCTTGTCGAATTGAACGATAGCAGCACCAGCATACTTGTCTACGTCATGACAAATTCTGATGTCAAATTTGTAATTTTTGTCTTCGCCTTTAAACCTAATTTAATAATTTGAAGGTAAAAGAGTTTTTAATTATTATTACAATAACTGCAGGTGCCAAATTATATAGCGTATGTACAAATAAAGGTACAACTTAATTGCCACCAAACACCAATCTACCCGAAATATGAAAACCGCTAGCTCTTCCTTGTAGATTGAGAATTTCAAAATCCACTAATGCTATCAGATCATTGCAATGACTGAACGAATGTATTTAATGCTTTACCACAATTCATTCATTACTAGGTGCAATGGTGTAGTTATCTCCTAAGCAGGAATTTTGTGCTTTAGCATGATTCATTTATTTGTCTAATAAACTATAGTGATATTCCATTCTCTATGAGACTTATAAGAAGAAATGGTTGTTATACCAACAGGTGTTGCACACAATAGCTACGGCTATATCATTTCAATTCTAACTCACTTTGGGCTTACTTGTAACTTGGTTTGCAGAGGTCTGGTACAGTGTATGATAATGTACAGAAAGCGATATTATGGCAGTCTGCTTAGTATGTCCACTGTACAGCAATACCCTGAACATAGATAGTTACGGTGTAGTTACAGTACTACAGTAATTGCTATTAGAATTGGGCAAAGTGAGAAGACGGTATGCAAAATGCCTATTTCAGCCAAGGTATAAAAAGTCATGCACCATAAACAAATCATTTTAGTATATTGTTGGTATGGTACAACTCTGATATTGTATAAGTACGCTGGTATAAAAGCTACTACAAATTGAGCAATAGACAATCAATCTGCATGGAAATCTGGTTTAGAATGAAGGTATTCATTCTATCACAACCATATGAATGAACTTATACAACTACAAATAAATGAACATCAGTCTTTTCCCTTAAGCAGATATTGCAATGGTCATACAGTTTAATTGTGCCATCATGTACAGTAGTGCCGTAATTGGACGGTGAAATTGACATGGCAGAGCAAAAGCTATTGCTGAAGATACGTTGTAACGGCCTAATAACTGTTCTCTAGACGCTTATGATCGAAAGAGCTGCGATTGATCAGCAAAATGAATCCATGTCAAGTCGTCTATCCTAATCCACTCCAACAAACAACTAGCCAATATTTCATTGATCAAGTCTGCAATTTTAAAAAATTGACTGTCCATAGCAGTTTCTCCGGCCATTCACTAGTCCTAGACTGAATTGTATCAGCACTAATTTACAAGACGTATGAAAGAGTGCATTGCACCCTTGCTTGAAGACGCCATTTCTTTGCAAAATCGGCCCACTTGAGCGATGGCTGTAGTCTAATGGCAGTGATTTCAATGTATCTATCCATTTACAACTAGACAGTCTGTACATTAGCTAGAATAAATCATGACTTACACGATATTGCTTAAACTTTTTAATCTTTGACCGTATTGCTGCGATTGACAAGGATTGGTATAACCACTGGAAGCTGAAGGGGCTACAGTGAAGACCAAAAATAATCCTACCACAATCATTCGAAAACTGGACATTTTAGCACAGAATTGGAGCTAAAAACCAAGACGATACAGCTAGTAGATATAAATGGACTAGAGATTCAAAATGCAATGGCAGAATTATCTTCGGACAGTCTAAAACTAGGCCACCAATTTTCTCTTTGAACTGAAAATTGGACAAGAACGTCGGTAGAGAAAGTTGGCTTGCACAGTTGTTGACGTGCATAAAATGATTCACTCACTGAGAATTGAAATCGTCAACGTGGGTTGACACTAGTTGTAAGCAAAGCCAATCCTAGGCGTCCAATCGGCACGATCATAATAGCCACTGGAGTGTAGTGAACGGTGTCAACCGTAATAGTACGTGGTTACTGAACGTTCGTACATACGAGGTACCGTAATACCATGTGTACTGTACTGTACCTTGAGTGATACATGTGGCATTGCTTGGCTTCACCGTAAAAATTGAAGCGTAAACGCGTCATCATGCGGCAGTACCGTACAGTACAGTACTGGTGTGTTCTCAGTGAATAATTATGTTACTCATTACGTCAACTTTTGCTAATGCAACATGGAAAGCGTTCAGCCGGATAAATAAATATTTACGCCTTCTGTATTGGTAGTACTACACTCAAGGAAAGGCAGTAGCCAAGATAGATAGATCTATTTTACATCTATGCTGACTGACTGATTGCTAGTAAAATGATGAATCCATCATTTTGAATTACGGTCGATCTGGTAAGATCTGTACAATTTTTGAGTAGCTCAGAAACGGACAGAACTGAGTGACGTAATACGTCATGTTTGACTGAGGATCTTATGACAAAATTTCCACGTGACACGCTGATGACTGCAGTACAGTACTGTACAATGCATTTGCCGTATCACCTGGTTGAACGCATAATACTGTACAGTACAGTACTGTACAAACCGTACTAACCTGTTAGTACTGTACCTACTGTATACTGTACTGTACTGTACAGTGTACAGTACATTTAGTCCATGCTGATGACCCTGTTTTAGGGTTAACTAAAGGTTTCAACCTCGCAATAAATGACTTTATTAACCTTCACGCTCAAAAATACTGTTTGGTATTTGCCGGTCTTAGCCCCACGGGGATAGCAACACATCTAACCCTGGCCAAGACTAGTATTTACTTGCACAACGTATCTATCTCATCCAAGAGTCATGGTAGAGTCCTCTGATTTTATAATAATTGACTGTTAACCTACCGATACCAGTAGATGACTACTGCACGAATCATACCGTAGAGTAGAGTACTGTATGTGCAAAACGATACAGGCAAGTAGTTAGCAAACAACATGATTGACTAGAGATCAAAGTAGGATATCGGAGAGGCTCTGGCTAATGGAAGTAAGTACAGACTTCCCATCACAAATAGAACTGTATCAGTTTGGGATAGTAATAGCAGACTTGAAATAATCCGAATACCATGATATAAAATGAGAATCGTGTTGTATGTAGATGCCTACGACCACATCACGTTGAATACACCCGTTCTCGTCTGATCACGGAAGTTAAGCAACGTCGAGTGGGGTTAGTACTTAGATGGGTGACCGCTTGGGAATACCCCATGCCGTAGGCGCCCCTACTTATTTCTTTTTTTGGCGTCACTTTAATTTTAAGAAATTCAGAAGTGTGGAATTGTAACTGCTTTGCCTACATGCTTGAGTTGGGTCAATATTTAAGGGCCTTGCTTCATGTTTATTCTATTTTATAGCAGGTACTCTAAAAGGAAAGAAAAATATAAGCGAGACTTTTGGAGGAGTATAGTAATAAAAATGAATTACCACACCATATCTATCTTTTATAGGCATTGTACCGATCTAGGAAGGATTAGAGTAAGATAACCTCACTGTACACTTTAATGTATTGCTTTGTGTAAAAGATCTTTCCCTTTTACTTGAATGGGTGATTTACTAGTAATAGTAATAATAGCAACGATCGAGCATCGAATTTCTGATCTGGATTTTGTAGCATTATCTACAAGATAACACACGGATGATTCAATGGTGAACAGATCGATATCATGAACAAAATCGAGTTCTTAGTCAAATAAAGAGGCGTTATAATTTTGATAGACGACAACCTTTATCATGCAGCATGAAATGTGCGGCTATACACTGTACACTTTTTTTCTCAAATGAAAGAAAAGTCAATTAGGAATACGATAGGATACAGGTTAATCGCTACGATATCATATATTTGTACTTTGAAGTTACTACACGCTTACTGGCATCATTGCATTCAAATTACGTATTAAAAAACATAAATACGAGTATATCAAGCGATTTTCAATAATTTACATAATAAGAATATTCCGTTAGAGTGTCTTGGTGTTTGGATAGATTTAATCTTTTATTACTTATTGCTTTTGATCAACTGGAAAGTAATATTATAAATTGCTTTCCTACATGTAATAAATGCGATATATCAAAGGTATAATATTTACGTGCTTTGTGCAAATTGCCACACGTCATATTTTTATCTAATAAACAATGAAACAATTTACATGCTTGTTTTTGATATATGGCATCAAATGATAATTTATGTAAATTCTTCTACAGTGGGTAACGAAATAGATTGGTTTTGCCATGTCATGGATCGGTTTAAATACGCATTTCCTCTTATCTAAGAAAAAGTTTATAAAGGTATATATAGATATCATGATTGGTCGAGGTTAGCTGTCATACTAAGGCTAAATTGTTGAAAATTTCTTTCTTCAATTTCTGCTAGGATATTATTTAAGCTGTAAATCTATTCAAATAAGACAAGAAGCAACCTTATTGACAAGTAAAAGAATTATCGAATTTGGTATTGTTAACAAGAAATGGTAAGAAAATATACCTGCATTCTCTGCCAACTTTTTAATTGATTAGTACTATTTATTTTGGACTTCTTTTTAGTGTTTTCTTCAGATTGCAATTGTCGCATTTTCTCTTTTTCTTCCTTCTCGTTATAAATTTTTTCTATGATATTATAAATTTATACACACTTTACAACCAAGCAATCAAGGTTGATATAATGTTAATTGCATCTCATAATTTGAATAAGTTACAAAGGAGAATTACAATATCCTGCAAGTAATTATATACACAAATGTATACGAATGTATAGAAACTTATTATTTTTAAATAAATAATGATCAGTATACTATGCTGTGTCCACTACTCCGTGCCAATAAATCTCAATATGATATGTATTTTAATCAAAGCTTTCAATAAATGTATATGCATCATACGTATTTAGTATTGAAATAAACATAATAATAATGTACTTACGCAGCTTAATCAATCTATTCTTAATAGCTCGCTGGCTCTTTAAAAAGAATTATGATGAAATTTAGAATATTTTTTATGCTATTGTGGCTAAAAGTCGCAACAACAAAATCGCTCTATTGCAGTTGTAATGGTAAACATTAATCAAAATTCTTACCCTAATATCCGATAACGAAGGAATATACAAAAAATTCTTAGCAAATTCTGATTAAATCGATAAAAAAGAGTTGGTAATCATTAAAATTATAAATTTGATATATATACGAAACTTTGTTTAAGTTCTATGTGAAAAGTAGTCTCATAGACCATCATTGGTTGCATAAGGGCAATTTTTATCCTAATCCATATAAGGTATAATATACTGCAATAAACTATTGAATCCTAACCATTTTCAGGTGTACACGGCGGTGCTGCGCTAATGCCTTCATGTAGACCTTTACTTTGTTTCTCAGATAAATAAATACGTGATTGTGGTAGCTTCTTTCCGGATGCATTAGACGCTTGTATAACTTTCGGAATCTGTGGTAGGGTTATAGTGGAATTGATATTTGACTTGATACCATAATCTTTCGTTTTTAGCTGACTTGTGTGTAAATCTGAGATTCCTTTTGTTATTTTTTGAATTTTTATCTTAATATCGTTGGAGTTAATATCGGTAAAATTTTGAACTGTTTTTATTCTGTTTGTTAGTTTTAGTTTAGTCTTATGCTTCTTAGAGGATTTTCGATTCTCTCTTGGATCTGCATGAATAGTGATATTTTTTAAAGCAAGAATACATTAATTCATAAAATACAGTACCATGTATGAAAGGTTAAATCTACTGTTAAGGGTGATATCGATCATGTTATGAAACAAGATATCCAATTAGATATAATTAACATACTACATATTCACAATCTGATTTCTAAGCAATTAACAAATAACTATGTTCTGTCGTTTGATGTAATAAGCAAATAATCATAGCTGAAGCATTTGCAGTTTAACAGTTAAAGAAACGCAAATTAAAATTTAAATTTGATAACAATACTTCAGTATTACCTTTGGTAGCAGATTTTATTCCCCTGCTAATTAATCGACCCTTACTCTTTGCAGATTTAATAGTTTCTTGCCCTTTATTAACATCAATAACTTCAATAGAGGACTCACTGTGTAGCGTTTCTTCGCCACTCTGATAAATTATTTCGCAATTGTTTCCATTGTCGATTGAATTGGAGCCTTTTCGTGTGACACTTTCGCTTGATTTGCTCAGTGGCTTTCGCGTTCCTTTACGACGACGATTTTTGGTAGTTGCTTTTTTAACGGATCGATTGATATTACTGTTACTGTGTAACGATTTATATGTTGTTGCTGCTAATGTAATACCAGCATGAAACGGGAGTTTGGAGACGATAACATCTGTTGCCATTGCATGTATTTCTTTCAGTAGTTTCAAAGTAATGTACGTTTATCTACTGTAGTTGATCTTTGACAAGATGCAGAATTTCAATATAATGGTCAATTACAGTAGAGCATTAAATTGAGTATTGCTTCATGTAAAAGTGCTACTCATTTCAAAATGGTCATAAAATTGTAATAATAAAGCAGGCACAGTACAAAATACGTATGGGAAATTAAAAAGTCATGCTGACATGCACTTACTATTCAACCATGGCTAATATAAGAATAATAAGATATAAATGAAGTGAAACTTTCTGTAATCAAGAAGGAATCAATAAGTGTATAGTCATTAATTTTCTCTGTGCAGTGATTTTCGGTAATCGATGACTTTTGGATAATATTTACAACTCACAAGTTGTGTCGGACTGGCAAACTCACCTTTCATAAAGACCGTCAATAGTCAATGCACTCGTCTATATGTGTACGTTATGTTCACTGCTACATACGATACACTACTGTCGATACGCGTATTAAGCCCTTGTAATAAGTCATTTTATGTGTAATAACTTTTGTCTATTTCAATGCAATTGTATGAGTTTGTTAAGAGAATTTGTTGTCGTTTACAAGACAGCATTATTCTGTTCAGTGGATTCAATGGAAATAAAATGCGTGTATTGAGTTACTATAGCAACGGTCTATTGACAGCAGATAGCAAATTGAAGTTTGTACAGTACGCTGAAAGTGCACAGTACAGTGTACAGTATCTCAGATGATGTCACCCCTCACTCCATCAGCCTATAGATATATCTATATATCTATATCTATATCTCTCTCTCTCTATATATAATACATATATATATAGTTAATAACTATATATATATAGTACAGTACATTGTGAGTGTACAGTATCTCAAATGATGTCACCCCTCACTCCATCAGCCTACAGTATAGTTAAATATATATATATGTATATATATAGTTAATAACTATATACTGTATATATATACAGTACAGTATATATACAGTATATAGTACAGTATATTGTGAGTGTACAGTATCTCAAATGATGTCACCCCTCACTCCATCAGCCTACAGTATAGTTAAATATATGTATATGTATATATATAGTTAATAACTATATATATATATAGTACAGTACATTGTGAGTGTACAGTATCTCAAATGATGTCACCCCTCACTCCATCAGCCTATAGATCTATATCTATATCTATATATATATATATATATAGTACAGTACATTGTGAGTGTACAGTATCTCAATTGATGTCACCCCTCACTCCATCAGCCTACAGTATAGTTAAGTATCTGTATATATACATGTAGTACAGTACATTGTGAGTGTACAGTATCTCAAATGATGTCACCCCTTACTCCATCAGCCTACAGTATAGTTATATATATATATATACAGTATACTGTATATGTATATATATACATATACTGTATACAGTACATATATATATACTGTATACTGTATATGTGTACAGTATACTTTATAGTACTGTACAGTACAGTACACTGATTGTGCACTGTACTGTACAGTACAGTACACTGTGAGTGTGCAGTGTATAGTACTGTATACAAGAGGCTTTCTTGCCTGATAGTAGTGGTACTGTACTAAGGTGGCCGAGATTGAGCCAATAGTACAGAACAGTAGGGGAAGTTGTTGCACGCCTCCGTACCCAATCAATCGTTTGCGCTCATACTAATACTAATAGGAAGTTTCCAAAAGTTAATTTGCAATCACTTTTATAGCACAGCGCATGGCAAGCATGCACTTACACTTCATATCAATATTAGCTCGTACAAGTCTTCCATAACTGCAAGCCATCTTCCAACATTTCCAGCTGATTTCAATCGTCATAGACTGGATTGGGAATATTGTGATATCGATTCATTTCCATTTTTATCCATTCCAGCTGTTATTTATCGGAAATGAGACCTCTAACGGCTGAAGAAACCAAAACATTTTTTGAAAAATTAGCAAAATAGTAAGTTGAAATTTAGCATGGTAAATAGGCATCAGTCAATTCAAGAATTGTACTATCCAGCTCTGATGAGAATGACCAATAACGACTTTAGTCTAACAATATCCTTCATCATCTTCGATCATTTCCTGGAATTCGTAGTATCGTAAACGATCAACACTTTTATCATCAATGCTAACGTAATGACTATTCCTTGAAGATACTTGTTCTAAATGATAATATCCAGCTGGTAGAAATTGCCACTAGCAAGTCATGGACAGTATTTTAGTCGGCAAAAGTGCAAGCAGTAGTGCTAGCAGCATAGTTGATAATACTCTGCAATAGGGTAGCTCAAACTTACCTTCATCGACTGGGAAGTACTCATAGGCTTGATTAAATCCAGCATGCAATCTTACCTTGTTATCGTTATAACGTATTTCCATCACTTCGTTCGTAAACCACTTGCTCAATCAATTATTTCTCGCTACTTGCTAATCAATAAATGACATCTTATCCTTGCAGTATTTCTCCTGAGAATATCAAACTTTTATTGGATCGACCTGATGCAAGCTATTGCTTCAGATTGCATAAGGATCGTGTATTTTATGCCAGGTTAGTACTGATTCTATTATATACCTTTTCGAGTAGTCCGCATGGTAGCATTGTCGCTTTTACTTATAATTATTATCTTCAATTCTGGTATTGACTGCATCAACGGCTGTTCTCATCTGAGTCCCTTTTGAAACGGATGATCTAGCTATTATTATTACTAACTATGCGTGTCAATGCGAGTATACTCGTCACTAAAACGACTTATATCTTTAGCAATGTTGATTCAATTTTTCAATCTCACCATGCTTTGACCCACTTTCATAATCAATTGAACTATACGAGTATATTAAACGGTTTACAAGCCTAACTACTACCTACTACTTGGTTTGTCTATACAGTGAAAAAATTATGCTCACAGCAAATAATTTTGCAAGAAAGGAATTAGTAAGTTTTGGTACGTGCTTTGGTAAATTTACAAAGACTGGCAAATTTAGGTTATATATGACAGCCTTAGATTATTTAGCTCCTTATGCACAAGTAAGTTTTGATATCTGTCTACTTCCGCTAAAGACTCTCCTATCGAATCTTCTGAATATTATTCTCACAACAGCTTAAACTATGTACTCTTAAGTAATCAGAAATTTTGCTTGTATTAATATAGTTTAAAGTTTGGGTTAAGCCCAATGGCGAGCAATCCTTTCTTTATGGAAACCATGTTTTAAAGTCTCATCTAGGACGAATCACTGATAGTACCTCCAAATATCAAGGAGTGATTGTTATGTCCATGAGTGATGTTCCTTTAGTAAGTATAGACCTATAAACTATTTCTTATTTCTATAGGATGCGTCTACTACTGTAATTGCTATGGCTAAAGCATAACATTGAAAAGAAATATTTATGTGCTTTATCTATTTGAATATAAAGTATAACATACTTACCTTTCACCTTAATCGATAATACTCTACAAGGGTTTTGGTGTATCAGCTAAATCGACGCAGGAGTGCAGACGAGCTGATCCGTCATCCATCGTGACATTCCATCAAGCAGACGTCGGCGAATATCTTAGAACCGAAGAAACATTATTATAATCATTTCCATAAATCGCGATATCAGTTATTCGATTTTGTTGATATTAAAAATATGTCAGAAAGAACAAAGTTAAAATGTACTGATAAATTACATACTGTATGTCATACTTTTTAATAAAGAATCAACTTTTGATTATTTACAATTTATTCTAACAAGCGTCAGTTAAAATTACATCTTCCAATCTACTCGTATGTACTAGTATTAATGAAGTAGTTATATTAGTTGTAACAACCCGCCATTTCTATTATACTAATCAATGGGCTCGAGAGAAATTTTGATGTCTCGCTTCCAACTATGTATCAAGAAGAAGCAAAGCATTTTATCTAGAGCCGCTACTCTTCTTGTTCGATCTAGTTTATTCTTGTATCCTATGTATCTAGCTGATCATCAACAGTACTATTTAAATGTCTGAGAATATCTATTTGCCATTAAAATTATTTACTATTAATAGCCCGTTTATAGCATGAGTAATTGATAAGTAGATCAGGTATATCATACAGGGCTATCCTCATAATAACTACTAACATAAAATAATTTAATTTTTAATATATATTTATTGAAAACATACTTAATAATAATAATAGGAGGCCAAATATGTTCCACAATCAGAATATTCCTACTACAATTAGGCTCTGATTAAATTCATACTAGCTGATACCAGTAATGTTATATCTATTACTCAACCTTTTGTTCTATTTGGCAAACTCAATAGCATTAAAGTATAATTTTAATATCAAGTTGTTATAATGACTAGAATTATGTTATTTCGTTCATAGCAGAGCTCATACAAATAGCTTTACTTGGTTTTAGAATGGCATCCATGATATCATTTTGTAATGCACATAAATGACTTGTGATTAAAAATGATTATAATTAGATCGATTCATTCATATGTACACTGTACAGTCTATGCGTAGAGTACAGCGATTAAGGATATAGTTTATATTAAGAAAATCCTATATAACGTGTGGATATAAGTACAGTCTAAACAAAATAAGCGTGACGATCATTACCGATCGCATAGTAGATGCTCTAAACCTATTCAGTATAATTATTAGTGTTAGTATAATTTCAATATTAAGCCACTACAATGATTAGAAATGTGTTATTTCGTTCATAGTAGAACTCGTATAAATAGCTGTAACCTCGTTTTAGAAATAGTGTCTATGATATGATTTTGTACCACTCATAAATGACTTATAATTAAAAATGATGACAATTAGATCGATTCATTCATATGCACGGCCTATGCGCAGAGAGCAGCGATTTAGGATCTAATTTATACTAGGAAAATCCTATATAACGTATAGATACAATTAAAGCCTAATAAATAAATAAGCCTAAGAATCCGTACCGATCACATAATAGCTGCTATAAACCCATGTAAATTAGTATTAGATACAGTATTTTCAGTTTATATAACCATCATTTAGCCAACTTACATGATTTTAATAATTATGATAGCTAAATAGCCTTGCATCAACTCCTTTTATCTCAACTTTCAAATACAGCGTCTTCCTTTGCTAATGGGATAGCTTACTGCATGTCGGCAAATGTTAAATAGATTCTTTTAGCTAGGTGACATTCAGCAAAATTGAATGGATAGCTAGCAATAAGAATTGTAGTGTAGATTTTATTGTACTTGTATTTTCAAGGGGGAATAGTGCATTCTTATATAAATATGACTGTTATTCTCTTTAATATAATACCGATGGGAATAAATTCCCACAAGACGAGATAGTTGCTTTCATAGAATAAGCGTTTTTCAAATTCAAATGCAATAGAAACCATCAGATAGGCTGATTATTATATTAATTACCAAGGGGAAATTATGGTAACGCCATAAATTACTTCACTGTTTTGTCAACAGTTCTTCAATTAACCTTGACTTCCTAAGGATTCAATTAAATAAAACTTCGCCTAAAGCCTAAAATTGATATCCATAACATAAGTCAATAAATAAAAGAGGAAAGGAACGATAGCTTACGACTTGTATACATAATAAGATAGGGCTAATCTCCTGTCAAATCTTTTTCAGTTTTCCAAAGCTAAAATAATCAAAAATAGCTTATCGAGTCGCAATAGGATACTAGGTTAATAATTCAAAGGTAGAAAATATATTCAATCGAGTTTATTATTTTAATGAAGTAGTTTGCGTCATAATAGGAGTTAGAGAACCTATAGCTAGGAAATGTAGCAACCATTGTCATGAAAATTAAGGCATTGAATTACGTTGTATTGATTCATTCAGGCTGGCTAGGTTTTACTTAATGAAGATCAACCTTTTATGCATAGATTATTATTTGATCATTTTAGTAATGTTATTCTTGACAGTAATGCTATAAATGAATTTATAGTCTTTATTCTATAGACAACATGAATAAAAAATAACACTAGCCCGCTACAATAATTTTATACGTATATGCCTATTAAGAAATCCTTTGGTTGGTCTATTAATAGATGTACCAACCATATACAGGTGGCTAGAAAGTTTTATTGAGTGATTGTAGTGCGATCGTAAGGTTTCCACTTTGTCAGAAGGCGTAAAATATTAACGAGAGAAAAGTGAATATTATACCTGACTTCAAATTCATCGGTACCTGCCATTTGGTGCCTGTTAGTTTCTAAAAGTAATAAGTAGATTGTAATAATTAACTGAAGGGAAAATGAAGTTTAAGAAATTATTTAAAAAGAAAAAGAAAAACCCCGAGGAGTCAACGATCAATGCTACAACCGACGATGAAACCGACGATTTATCTATCCAACAGGAAGCGGGCCAACAGGTAAAGGAATTCTATTTTACTAGATTTAAAGTAATCAATCGCAAAAAGCTAATGGGTAAAAGCAATTTTTAAACAGAAGGACATTCATTCGTTGCGAGATTGTTTAGTGTAGAATTCATCCCTCTAGTCAATTAATCGGTTTTGAGATTATCTTCTGATATTCTTTTACTTTGCCATTTTTTTACCGTACGTAAAACATTGAATCTATTAACTGTAGACTGCTAAATTTCGTACTCTTACTTTACAACTACTGATCAACGCATTTCATGGTAAAGAAAATATTGCGCTATCAATTTTTCTCTAATTAACGCAAGAAATTATCCACATCGATACTTTATTCGAGTATTAGCCATGTTACGTAGGATTCGTCCAAGCAATAATTTCTTTAGTAGATTTTCCTAACGAAATTTGATAAGTGGTCAGAGATAATTATATAATACTATACCTACTCCTATATCAGCTGATCAAGTTCTAGTTAAACAGCCATGTCAGATATTCACAGAATATTACTTACAGCAACTAGCTGCTACTTAAATATTGCCGCTATTAGTGATTGTCAAGGGCAGATTGTGTACATAATCGCGCCTACCGTTATTGACCGATGTAGGATTAACATAATATCGTCAGAATAGGCAGATTATTGAAAAAAAATAGCAATTTTCTAATGTTCAACTACGAAATAATATCGTAAAAGAGATAGGGTAACGTAATATCCTAGGGAAGTAAAGTAGGGAATATGGATTACGCTGCAGTATTAATTGACAAGGCAGAGATTCCCTTCGTACTACTTATTCTAGCTTTTCTCTACCATCTTCTATTCTCGATAAGTTCAATAGTATAGCTTGAATGATGAAACATATCGGTTCGCTTTTTCACCTAAATAAGCCAGCATTAGCTTGTTCTACCGGTACTTGAAGTTTGATTCATCCTATTTATAACCTTAATGCTTTCTTAATATCACCAATTAAATTGCAAGTATTAAAAGTAAGAGCACGAAGATTCAATTATGAGCAAGCTTATACCAAGAAAAATGCTGTACATTTTCTCAGTACATTTGATGCATCTCTCTCGATTTACTTCTTTCACAAATCACCGTAACATAGCTTATTCATGTCTTCAGATTCATAACTGAGATCATTTACATGTCACACGATATATTTATTACATGGACATGTCGTAAAAGTCGATTAGTAATATCTATAATAAGACCTTAAGTAATCGTCAACGCAAGCAAGGCAGCTGTAGAACTTTTCAAGATAAAATAATCTATTCTATTTTTCATCATTCTCATGAGATTTATCAATGAATTCTATATTGAGTGATTGTTTCCGTTAATTAATCGCGAAAAAGGAAGGAGTAAATTCGTATTTCTTAATTACTTTAATGGTCAATTGAAGGATGAAAAAAGTTTCCATACGCTGCTCTTACGAACAGTTATCAAACTGATATTGACTAAATTCTAAAAGCAGCTAACTGCAAAGTAGCTTAATTTTCGTCCTTGTACAATTTTACCAGTTCCTACCAGGATCTCATTTTAAGACAGGTACTTTTCGCTAGTTTATTTGGCTTACGTTGTTTGCTGAATTAAATGAATAGGATTTACGATCATTTTCACAACAACAGCAAAATTGAATTTAGCGTCGACATAGGATAAAGATATTGTAAACTAGTAATTAGAGTTAGTTATTTGTTTATTTCAAGAAGGTTGAATGGTTAATTTGCATTACAGCCCTTCTTTTGCTTACTAATCGTAGAATAATAATCTTGGCTAATGTAAACGGCTCTAATAGATTTATAAACTTCGCAACTAAGTCACGAACATGAATATGACCATCCTTGATCTCACTTGATTTTAATATATTTTCTCAATAGACAAATATCTTCCTATAATTTTGTGGAAGATTATAATAAATAATCAATGATCTTTACGGTAGTATTAAATATTTAATAATGCTTGTGTCCACTTTTATTCTTATTTCCCCGAATTTTCTCAATACAGTTACAACGACATCGTTATTTCTATCCCTTAATATATGTATATTTACTTATAAGTTATTTATAGCAATATTTGCTTCATCTAGTATATTCTATATCATCAAAAAAGCCTACTAGATAGCTAGTTGGTCTAGTAAAATGATATATCAATCGATTAACAAAAGTATTAGATCGATGTCTTATTCCATCCCATCATTTAATCGTTTAAAAACGACCTGTTGAATCCGCAATTTTCAACTCCTTCCTATTTCGATAGCCATTATTCCCAAAACGGTGTGGTCCTTCTAGTTTCTATGGTAACTGTCTCCGTAATTTGCATACTATTAGGCCTTAACCCTCTAGATAATACTCAATATAAAGCCTTTTTAAATGATCTATTTTCTATTATACTCCTATACGCTGTTAGGCACAATAAAAATAGGCCTACAAATCAGAGGTCTATATAAGTAGGCATAGAATTGATATATATTAATCGATATCATAGTATTGGTAATGTATTAATATATTGTTAATCTGTTTTATTTACATCGATTCCTACTATCATATAAGTCATAGTTAGTTAATAATTCTCATGTAACTAGGGATATATTAGTTTTTTTAGTTACAGTTATAGTTTAAATATATTGTAAATAAAAATCAATAAAAATCAATAATATAATATATACTAACAACTATTGCCCTTTTAGGCTATCACAATTAATATGACAGAACCAGAGGTAACACCAGAATACGAATATAAGCATCCAACTTTGTATTTTACTGATGGAAAAAGGAAAATAGGTATGCAGAAGTTTAGATTGGCAATTGATTTCAAAGTATACTTTAGAATGCGCTATCTTACTTCTATGTACACCTAGGCAGTCATTTTACGAGTCTTATTTTCAAATTGATATGAAGTATTATCAAATTCGCAACTTATCCGGTAAATTCGAGACATTTCAGTACATAAATATGTTAATGAATTGTTTTTGTTTGATATTATCCAAATAGATTTTGTAATTGCATATGAGAAAGTAGTTGGTCAAAAATCTAATCCTGCTCATGAGAAATTTCGCCGTCGATACATTAAGAATATTATCAGCCATGGCCTAGCAATTGAAGAAGTAAACAAGATCGATTTCTGCTTGATAATGTTTATAATTTGTTTATACTCCAAATATACACGTATGGACTATATGATATTAGATAATAGATGATGCCTAGGACATTAATCAGAGAAATTGATCCTATAATATACAATAGAAAATTTTAGAGTATGCTATTAACCGATAATACTTCATCTTTTCACGTATTAGGCACAAAAGCATTCTGATAAATCTACGATAATGTTTTATAAAGTTCATATTCCATGGCCAATATTTTCAAAGCATGCTGAAGAACTACTTTGCCGTGTCAAATTACAGGTAAATACAATCGATTATTGCCTCAATATACACAATATTGATAATTCTGTTAAATTCGTCTTTTATTTACAGACTAATCAAGAAATTAGACGTCAATGGTCAGAAAGACAGCTCAGGCGCTTCTGTTGTCCCAATATTATGAAGCAACGGTTACCTTACGAGCCAAAATATTATGTTACAACTCAATATGCTGAGAGTAAAATTCAAAAGTAAGTTATTCAATTCCAGATATGCCATATATTTTAAATTATTCTAACGCTGCGTGTTTGCTATCAACTGTGTTATATCAAGGTTAATATATTGCTTATAAGTTCATACAAGTAGATTTACGTATACTTGTATGTATTCTGCTTAGTTAAAGTGGTAGTTATATATTAGTTAAGAAATTTATAATATACTTATAATTATATAAGTAACATTTCATTCTTGCTGTTAGGTTTATTGGCCATCGCGATCCTGAAACAATGTTTACATCTGCCGAAAGATCACGAGTGGTATTACATAGATTTAGTCTCACCTGATTTATATTTGTACCCATCAACCTTTAAATTAGTCATCAAAGCATTAATATTTGAGTTATTCCAATTAAATTGATAAAATTGTGAAATAACTAGATAATATAACTTACTTAATTTTCACAGGCATATCACATATTAGCAAATATGCCATATGGTTCGAAACGACGAGGAGAAATTGGTTAGCCATTTTATTACAACATATACATAGATATATAATTGTAGTTTCATAAATTAAATTGAAGTAATTATATATAAATTATACATTGCAGTGTATCATAAATATCGTATAAATTACGTTTAACAGGAATCGATCGTTTAGAACAGGAAGGAATATTCACTGCTGGTTATCCATTACATGATGTAATGACGATATGACATTCTTTATATAATTGTCAGCTCAATACTACTATAATAGATGTAATGACCAAGCTGGCCAAACAATGCAAATAGCATAGCAATTACATCAAGTTTACGATTCGAATTTATGCATAAATTTTAATTATAATACTGCTAATTTTGGGGGACTGTGGTACTGATTGTAGGGAAACTATAAAAATATCTATATAGAAGAAGTTGATCTGCAGAAGAATCCACTGCCCCGTGAAGATTATTATAATGCACGAAATGTTAGTTATAAATCGACTATCGAAATTACTATCCTCATTAACTGCTACTATAGATATATGCATTTTTAGTAAATTAATGCAGTAACTATAACACGATTTATTGCTAAATAATCTGAAATAATCTCTCCTATTCTTATAGATATTACGCAAATATTGGGGAAGATTTAGTATATGGTATAAATATCAACCAATTGAAAATATTCGATTGTATTTCGGCGAAAAAGTTGCTATATATTTTGCGTGGTTAGGTACGTTCAGCATATTCCTTACAATACTAATTAATTCGAGTCTAGATTTTTTCACAGAGTATAAATACTCAATCCAAACTATTCCTTACAGGACTAGTCATTATGCAGGTTATCGGTTACAATATGAATTTTTTTACTATTTCTATAGGGTTTTATACAGCTTGGTTACTACCAGCAGCTACTATGGGATTTTTAGTTTTTATATATAGTATATTAACAATGAATCAGAATCCAATAGCGTAAGTTCAATGAGATATACTATTGATTTATTGTATAACATTAACCTTTATACGCATAGATAATTCTGTAAATGCATTTGAGGTTAGAATAGTAAGCAATGTACAATAGAAAACCGAAAAATAATTTTTAATATACAAGCAGTATCAGTATCTACAATTATTATACCACGTAATACGAGAATATTAGTTTGATCAGCTTGCCATACAGTATACGACTACTTATGAAACCATTCCTCTAATGACAGCTATATTCAGATAGCAATACCGTTTGATAATATTTATGTGATAGCGATACAACTGTAGGTGCAAATATCATAAACATCTTAAGGATCAAATTGACTAATGAACATCGTATTATATTTTACCATTTAAATCGACTCTAAATAAATCTTACTTGGACAATATTTAGTCATCAGGTATGCAACGAAGGCAAACATATGGTAATGTGCCCACGATGTCCTGTCAAAGCTGGTTGCAAATACTGGAATTTATCGAATGCGTGTGGGAAAACGAAGGTATACAATCAAAGCATATTTCGATCAGGACAATGCATATTTATACCCTATCTTAATATAATATATTCTGAAGTATAAAAATTTTACTTTCTTAACGCGATAATAAAAATATTAGACAATAGAATGTTTTAAATGAAAAAAATTTTCAGAATGTGCTAAATTATCACCGTAAACATTATTAAGAATTCACATTAAAGAATTCTTTTGGTGTAACTAAATCATTGTTATTGAATCTCTTTTCTACTCCATGATTTTAGCTGGCTTATATAGTAGATAATCCAAGCACTGTTTTTTATTCTGTCTTTATTTGCTTCTGGGGTATGAGTAATAGCCATTAATTCTTTAATTTATAATCATAATGTTCCAAGTTTCTGGTACTGTTGTACAGAAAAACAAATATCATATTTTCTATTTTTCATATTATGATACCACGTTATGATAGCGGTATTTTTCCTGGAATTCTGGAAACGAAAAGAAGTAACATTAGCTCATCAGTGGGATACGTTGGGTTTTGAGGAAGAAGAGGTCATATAAATTATGCAATAGTTTTTTAAACATATGAATCTTTTGCGAATCATATAGTTTGCTTCCTATAATAATTAAGTGCTAATGCCACTTTTAATTAAATATTAATATCGATGTAAAACTGTTTGGGTTTATAAGGAACGTCCTAGGGCTCAATTCTCAGCATTCGCACCCTCTAAAAGAAATAATCCCATAACGGATGAGGTAGAACCCTATATGCCGCCATCAACGCGACTTCCACGTTATTTGACGGGAGTTACAGTGCTACTAGTCATGGTAAGCTAAAGAACATAAGTTCTATCTCATATTTTAGTATTAATTGCTTAGGTCTCTTCGGAGATCAAGCCGTATATATACATCGAAAATTATTTATTTCAACTGATAAAGAATATTTAAGCAATTAGCTATTTTTTTTACTTATGGAATATCATAAGTCTTGAAAATGAAGGGTTTCAGTTTTACCGTAATTAGTGCTCGCTTTTAAATTCCAGTGTAAATCCTATCCTTATTCAGGATAATTTTAATCCATAAAATATTTTACTTTTTGCATATAGTTGTGCATGGTTGTCATTTGTCTGATTACGGTCTTGGTATATCGAGCTGGTATCTCCTTACTGTTGCATTCGGTCAAAGGCTTAGGTAGCATGGCAAGCATGATTGCGTCGATTTCTGGCACTGTCATTAATTTAATCTTAATTATGCTGCTGAGCACGGTAAACAAACAAATGCAATTTCATTGTACAGTTACAAAAATAGGGTATATTCCCTTTTCTACCTTTATTTATATTAGTATGTAATGATTAATCTTAATTTTGTATCAACCTTATTTTCTATTTTAGTTTTATACCAAATTGGCAGTCAAGCTCACTGATTGGGGTATTTAACTTGAAAAAATCTCTTTATTGATTTATAACATTGTATTATCCAAAATTAATTCGTTTACTGGCACTTTCTACCATATACATCGATATTTACCCATTCAATTTTATATAGTATTGTTTAAGTTAAAAAGATTTTTTTTATTTGCCTTATTAATTCACCTGTTAGAACTCCATCGCACCCAAACTGAATATGAGGATCAATTAACATTCAAAGTCTTTTGCTTTCAATTTGCTAACTTTTACGGGAGCATATTTTATATCGCGTTCTTTAAAGGAAGGTAAGCATAATTAAGTTGTCATTTGTAATAATACTTCGACACTTTCTAGGCATTGATCGAACTATATTTGCCTTTACTAAATTAAATCACTAAATTATTTATCATGTGCAATATTACGGCTAGATTTGATGGGTATCCTGGCCATTACAATAAAGTGTTTGGTGTTCGATTAGCGAGTGTAAGTTTACATCAAAATCATACAAACTATTCACAATCATTAATCTTGATCTACATTGTTATTATTGTTGCCTACAGTGTGGAACAGCTGGTTGCTTGCCTGAGTTATCTCAACAATTAGCCATCATTATGATCGGTAAACAAATGATTGGAAATGCTAAAGAATTTCTAATTCCGTAAGTAAAAATAATTTTAATAATTTTCGAACCATTTAATTACAAGCACCAGGTCATGTCGTTATATGAACTAAAGAAGGCTTATGATCAAGATAAATGTAAATGCGGTATGCTAGATATCTTCATAACTAGATTTTATTCCTTCATTTGAAATTGGTTAGGATTGTTAAGAATTACCTCAGAAAGCGAAAAGTCAGTAAGAATAAAAAGGCAAAAGAAAAAGCTATAAATAGCTCAGCAAGCCGTAAGAGATCTGAACATAAACCGCTAATTGGAGCTAGTGCAAAAGCGAACAGTAATGATTCTCTAGTGCCAAGATGGGAGGAAGACTACACTCTGGAACCGGATGAACCACTTTTTGGCGAATACTTAGAAATGAGTAAGTATTGATAGACAATATTTCCATCTTAATTTTAGGGACTATAAGACTATCTATCATAGAAAGTTAATGTGCCTAGTTGGGCATAGTCTATAGATGAGGAGCATCTTATTCAGGGTTAATAAGCTCATATGCTTTATACCAGTATTCCAACTTATCGAAGGATAATTTTGAATCAAATTGGACCATTTGATTAATAATATTCATAATTACTACAAAGTCTATAAATCCCTTTTTAGCTATCCGTACATCTAATATGAGTATATCGTATAGATCAATCGATGATTTAATGATACTGCTTAGCTTCTGGAATGATAGAAAATTTTCTCTATAAATAGCAATAAATCATACTAGCGGTTTTATTTACCCTTAGTCAGACGATTAGGAAAATAAAATTAATGGATATGAAAAACCTTCATAAAATTATTTTCTTCAACCATAGCAACATCTAGCTACGCATGAAACAACGTTATTATTAGAAGATATGCAAGATCTAGTATCAAGTAGTTTCGCCAACGTATTAATATTATCGTTATAATTAAAGGATTTGCTAGATTTAGTAATTTCACCAATGCATTAATAACATCGTCTCAATTTAAAAACTTACTAGACCTAGTACCAAGCAGTTTCATCAACACATTAATATTATCGATAGAATTAAAGGATTTGCTAAATCTAGTTTCAAGTAGCTTCACTAATGCATTAATATTATCGTTGCAATAAAGAATTTGCTAGACCTAGTATTAGCACCGTAGTTTCGCCAACACATTAATATCATTATTACTTGTCATACGATATAGTAAGTTATATTTAAAGGCAATCAAATGTAAACTTAATTTAATATATAATCTTTGAAATCGAATAATTCTAAAATCTTAGCTGATTCTGAATAATTGATTCCAAGATGTTTATTTTCAAGCATATCCAAGCATTTCGTGACGTTAGTTTTAATGTCATACTGATGCATTAAGTACTAGTATATTCATTGATACGCATTTAGATATTTATTTAACTATAAATTTACGATTCTGCCATATACTTTTTAATAATCACTCTTTAATTGTTTTATTTTAGTTATTCAGTACGGCTTTACAACGATCTTTGTGGTTGCATTTCCTTTGGCTCCTTTCTTTGCTTTACTCAATAACTGGCTTGAAATTCGGTTAGATGCGAGTAAATATGTAACACAATCGCGTCGCCCTGTTGCTTATAAAGCCGAAGATATTGGTGTCTGGTTTACTATTTTAAATGTAGTAACTAGAATTGCTGTACTTTGCAATGTAAGTAATGTAAGGTTGTCGGTTAAGTTGCCTTGTGCTAATATACTAATTTACATGAAGATGAAAACGAAATCGTGAAAAAATGTGATATTAATTTAATGACCATTTACTTCATTTTAGGCTTTTATAATTGCGTTTACATCGGAGTTCATGCCTAAATTGCTATACCAGTATACTGTTGATCCTTCTCTTGAGGGTTATTTAAATTACACCTTATCTTGGGCACCTGAAGGAACAACGGAACGTCCATGCAGGTAAATAGATCAGGATCATTTTGAAATTAGCAATCTTAACATACAGCCTCACCCTTGACCTCTTATATATTCTAGTTTGATGTTTTAGCTTGAGCATTACTTATTTTAAGTACTATCTACTACATTTGTGAGCATGAGTTAAATCTAATACAAAAATTAGTCACCTGATTTATAGAGCTATTGTCAGTATACTTCCATACAAGTAAGATATAGCTCTATTATAAAACTAGATTATATCTTTAAGTTCAATTTTCACTGTTACCTATGGCTATGTGATATGTAAATAGGATGATATTCAAGGTTTTTTTTATTATCATTGTCTTAAATTTGTCATAATTATATTGAGATTCCTAATCTTTAAATACCTAAAATTAGGGAGTACCTAAGTTATTTCTTGTCTGATCGATATCATTATATAAAATAATGAAAAGATATCAAATTATTACCTAAAATCGCTATTTATGGACAAGTATGAAATAACTAAGTTATATTGCATATTTTTTTCTTAAATATAGATACCGAGGTTATCGTGATCACGAAGGAAAATTAACATTTTTTTACTGGAAGTTAACCGCTATTAGATTGGCTTTTGTCGTAGCCTTTGAGGTATGCATTCAGTTCAAACTAGAACATGTTTAGCATCACGAGAGAGATATTGTAAACAGTTAAATCTCAGTATAGTTTATAAATCCTTATTTATTGGTTTCAATTTGAGCTTTACTTCCTATCCCAAGTACTATAAACAAGATAAAATTATTGGATCGCTAGATTATGAGCAAGTGCGTTGAAACATGATTCACTATCTGAATCTTGTGCTATAACGCAAGAATTCCGTAATTTAAAACTATAACCAAATGCCCATTCCATTAATTTATGGGAAAAGTGATTGAATATATGTCAATGATGCAGATATTAGTTCTGTTACTGACAGATCCATCGAGGTCATCAATTTTATTTTTTCGTCGTAGTAAATAAGTTATAACATAAACTTATGTTTAAGTTAATATCTTAAAATGGCTACATTTCTTACCTCTTGTACCTTCTTGTTGCAGCATTTCGTGTTTGCAACATCAGTCCTGATTGATATTTTAGTTCCTGATATTCCGGAAAGCTTACAGATAAAAATTAAACGCGAAGAATATCTTGCTAAAAAGGCTCTAGAAGAAAAGGATGAATTACCGCCAGCTTTAGTTAACAATAATGACGAACCTGATGGTGCAACTGGTGGGAAAGATGCTGATGTAAAAGGTAAAGCACTTAATTATAACTCCTACCAATAGTATAAATAGAATCCAAGGTAACTTTATCAAAGCAATCATGAAATATTTTGTCCTTCTTTATAATCAGATATTAAGTTCTATTATCTTTTTATGCCTCCAATCGGATTAGGTGATCGAAAAAGGAGCAAGGGATTTTAGGCTTTTTACACGAGAAAAATACCAATATTAATGAACAATTTCTATTAGAATTCTTATGTAATTGTCAATCACTTTAATACTGAGAGTATTATATTTCAACTTTTAAACACCAATGAAGTATGTGTTAGTCGGATAGATATAACAATAGTTATCTGACTGCATCTGTAGTAATGTATTATAAAAGACAGCTGATTGTCCCTCGAACATAATTTTGAGGAATCGATTTGAAAGTCTCAAAATATTCTGTCTTTACTAGTATACATGATAGTGATTCTATCCAATTTGAAAAATTAGAATATTTTTACAATCATAAATAATCAGTATAATCAAGAAGGTATTATCTAACAAAAATGGAAACTTTCCAGAAAAACACTTGGCTCTTTATGATTACCTCAGCTAGATAACATTTTTTCTAATTTAATATGATTGCGTTAAATATTTACAGTAATTAGCGTAAGGTGAGAATGGTTATATAGCAGGTAGAAAAGCCTGTTCATAATAATTTATTGCATTCACAATATATAATTAAATGATGAGTGCTGGTAGGATAATAAGTAGAATGCTCAAAATTCTGCTGCATTTAATCAAATATAAGATATTAGTTGATTTGTATTTATTCTGGTGATATCTTTCTGCAATTAGCTTTCGGCCCTTTAGATTTTAAACCGTAGTTAGTAGGCCGTGTAGCCAATAGTTAGATGATAGATAAAACGCTAATGATTCTAATTTATCCATTCATATTATTCGTGATTATTTATAATCGCCAATGTACTCAATATTACCCTTCATCACATAATAACTTTGTCTGGTGTTATGAGACAAACTGGATATAAAATATGGTATCAAGTTGCTATAATTATTAATAGTTGATCATTACCGTTACTTATACTTGAAAGAAAATTAATAAAACACTACATGTGCAATTACTTTGATGATTTGATATTTTTGAGGAGTATTTACAAACTGTAACACCGGCTATAAATGTGTTGACATCATGATATAACTTGGGCCATTTAAAAATCAGCGCTGGAGCCCATATGTGTATGTAAGCATGTGGAAGTGATACTGAAAATATCCATACATTAAATCACGTAATGAAACAATAATTGCAGTAGAGTATGGTAAAGTAGAGTAATAAAGTTTACGAAATTATTTACCGTAAGCTCAATCGAAACTAACTTATAGCCGAATCCAACTTTATTACGATAGAAATCTCAGCTCTACACATATCTAAGTATGAATCGACTAATTTAAACAAATGCTTTTAGTCAATTTCGGACCACAACTAGCAAGATCAAGTAGTCTAAAGATGTTTATCAGATCCTCAGATTTCTAATCTGCTCAATTTACGAGTTTCTACAATGTCTGCCACTGCATTTCCCAATATGATATTATAAATAAGGTGATAAATGTTGGTACGGTAGTTGATTCGATCTACAACTTTGTATAGATCGTTAAGCTAGTGCATGATTAGCTCAAATAGAAGCAGAACAAGGAACTGAAGACGATATAACTTAGGCCCAATCGAGCCGAATTTATAACTGAATTGAATTTTATTCCGATAAAAATCTCAACTCTACGTATATCTACGTATGGATCGACTAATTTAAATCAAGATTTCACTAACTCTAACTAGCAAGATCAAGCGGCCTAAAGATATTTATGAGATCTTCAGGTTCTTGATTTGCTCAATTTACGAGTTTCTATAGTATCTGCCACGGTTCTAGGACGGCAATACAATAATTAAATATACCTCGCTAAATCAAACCCATTTTCCAATATAATGCTCTGAATAAAGTGATCAATGTTAGTACAGTAGTTGATTAGATCCACAACTTTGTATAGATCGTTGATCAAACGCATAGACAGTTTAAATAAAAGCAAACATAGGAACTAAGCACCATATAACTTACCCACGTGGACTTTAAGCTTATTTATATATGCGATATACAGTTTCTTGCAGCAGCTATTTTAATCATACCTAACATGGTTTCAATACTCTACAAAGTTACTAGACTAAATATGATTAAAATACCACACCTCCTATTCCTCTATCACTAGAGTTACATGATTATTCTCCATGCTTTTAGACATGACTTTTAATTACCAAGATAATCATATCCACTATGTCAACAAGGTAATTATCGGGTATATTAGGGATGAAGAGGATCATTCTATAGAATGCATTGTAATTGTAATTCTAATGACTTATAATTTATGCATTTTAGATGTCTATCTATTGGAGATTGGAAAGGATATATGCTATATATATTAGGCATCGTATAGAATAGAAATTCAAGTTTGATTGACGTAACTGTAAAAGCCGTAATATTAGCTTTTTTATCACCTGATTTGCCACCTTCTAAATTGGATATAGTATCAATATTATAGATAGAATGAAATGGACATTCAAGCCTAATTGATGGAACTGCAATAGCCGTAATGTTAGCTCTTTCCATCACCTGATTTACCACCTTCTGTATTGAATATAGTATCAGCATTACACTACAACGTAGCAATGGCTCCCAAGAGAAAGGCTCCTCAAAATAACAGCAATGGCTCAGCTGATATTGATTACAATCGAATGGACCTTAAAAAACTAAAAAATGAATGCAAAAAACGTAATCTAGATGAAAGTGGTAAGAAGGCCGAGGTCATAGCTCGATTATGCAACAGCGATCAGCAAGATCATGTCGCAAACGAAGCTATTAATAAGAGAACTAAATCAAGCGAGAATGTAGAGCCACAATCATGTCCTACCAGCATAAATGTTCAAGTCAAGAAATCAGCAAAAGTGGATGATTCATATGATGGACCTAAGCCTTGTACAATCTATGCGGATTATCACTGTGTACTAGAGCAAAGTAATAGCCAAGATGGTGAAAATAATAATTGCATCATTCAACTTATCGACTGCACTTATTTCTATTACGTTTGGATGCGATCGAGTTGTGAAGAGGAAGAAGATAACTGTGCATTAAATGGACCTGTCGACAACATTAAAGATGCCATCAAAATGTTTAATAGGAAATTTAAAGACTTAACAAAGAACAATTGGTCGAATAGGGGAAATTTTATCCCCTATCCTGGTCAGTATATTTTGATCGAAATGGTTGAAGAAGATCAAGGCTGTACAGCAACTAGTACATCACCGAACACTGGAGAAGTTAGCAATGATAAGCCTGGTAGAGAAACTCTAAAATTAATGGAATTCATTTCTGACAAGAGATATCTGGAGATTGCTATTGAAAATATTGGAATACATGAGAAGGTTTTTCCAAGTTGCGTTGTTAACAAAGGTCTTATCGTTTGGGGATTTTCCATATTAGAAGACATTGAAGAGGCTCTCCAAAATGGCGAATTCAAATTGGTACAGGAGTTATCAAAGTCATACTATCACGGATTAAGTTATTCCAGATATGGAGGGGAAAAATTGGTCGATAACGAGTGGAAATTAAATAGGTTAAGGAAAGAACTTCAACTCTTAATGGATGTATGGATAGCACGAGATTTAGTCAAGGAAACGACAGTACTAAATGACGAAAATCAGTCACTTACTGCTTATTATCATGTATTAAACGTCAAGTTAACTCTTATGAATCCGGGTGATGAGACCTACAATACCATTGAAAACTACTTTATGTCCACACGATATTCGGCAACGGAGATTACTCATATCTGGCAAATGGATCGATCAGGTGAAGATGAGCGATTTGCTCTACACGACGCCATTCAAAACCGTCGATTATTATGGTTTTGTACCCATGCAGCAAGCACAGCTTCCATCTTAAAATATGGGCTACGGATTTCACCATTAACCAACGAATTTGTTGGTCCTGCTCTCTGTTTTAATTCTACCGTAGCAGATGGTCTTCGTTATTTGAAGAGCCTTCATCATGGTATTATCTTTCTAGCAGAGGTGGCTATAGGTAAGGAGCATCAATTTAAAGGTGTAGGCAGCAATCGTTCTCTGACGGCAGCTTCCCAAGGCTGCGATTCTGTCGTTGTCAGCGGAGATCGATTTACTGATCCAGAGAACGATAGCAAGATCAGATTTCATGGCAAGGAAGTGCCTATACACCAGGGAATGGCTATTGAGACAGAAGCATTTGGAAATTTCTATGGCAATGCCTATTTCATTTATAATGAAAGTCAAATTCGTCTACGTTATATCATCAGAGTTAAGCGCGAATATTGATGACTAAAGTTAACTATTGCCTTTTAAGATTAGACTGTGCTACTATCTGAAGACAGTATACTCATCAGAGTAGAGACTTTGTTATTGATATAGACCTATATTTGGATTGAACTGTAACTGTAATCTACTCTTAAATATAGACATTTTGTATTGCTATTAAATACAGACACATTTACAGTC